AGTTAGCATCTAACTCTCAGGAAGAGAGCACATTTATTTTCTAACAAAGTTCATAAAGACAGTGTCTCTCTTCAGGGAATGTAGGGTAGGTTTGCTTACAGGTCATTACAGCAGAGGGAGGATGTTAATTTCTCAGGTTTGATGCAAATCCACTTATATATAGCATATATGCAGGCTTCTCCTCAACAGGCCAACTCCTTGGGACTTGGAAGGCAAAGGCAACAAATGCAACTGGAAGATCATATCACCTGCTTCCCTGGGAGTTAAATAGTCCTGTATTCATTATGTATCACAAACCTGTACTAATAAAATATTTTAAATGCAAAAAATAAAAAGTCCTCTGTCTCTGAGCCAGATGTCTCATGTCTTCTGCCACTATCTACAACTGCTAGCTTTTGTGTTTGTCAGCTTTCTGTCACTATAAAAAATACATAAGATAACGTATAGAGACAAAACGTTTATTTCTCCTCATGGTTTTAGAGAGTCCCTGTTATAAGCAATCCATCACCAAGCAGATCTATTGTTTTTAGGCCTCTGGTAGAGGTGCTGAGTAGCAACGATAGAGAACATGAAGCAGAGCAGACAGCTCACCTCATAGCTAGAAAGCAAAAGAGAGGAAGAAAAAGGTACCAGTGTCCTACAATCTCCTTCAGGGACATTCCCCCAGTGACCTAAGCACCTCCCAGTGGCCACCTCCCAACATCACCACTGTGGAAATGACCAAGCCTACTAAACATGAGCCTTTGGAGGAACATTCAACTTGCAAACTATAGTAGCTTGCAAACAAAATGAAAACCCAAGACAGTTATTTTTTTATTTTTTTTCCCAAGACAATTCTTAACAGTCTAATGGCTCCGACCTCAGCTAGCTACCATCCCAAAGTCATGTAAATTTGATATTATGCCTGCTGCCTTTATGTCTGAGTCCTCCCATTGCACAAGTGATCTGTACTGACTATGCAGCTTCCCAATAGCAGCTACAATTACACTGAATTCCCTCCAGGATGGTGGAAACCTTTTTCCTCAGCACTGGGGATTGAACCCAGGGCTTCATATTCTAGGCAAGCACTCTACTGCTCCATCTTATCCCTTTTCTTTTCTTTTCTTTGCTTTGCTTTGCTTTGCTTTGCTTTGCTTTGCTTTGCTTTCCTTTCCTTTCCTTTCCTTTTTTCTTTTCTTTTCTTTTTCCTTTCCTTTCCTTTCCTTTCCTTTCCTTTCCTTTCCTTTCCTTTCCTTTCCTTTCCTTTCTTTTTCTTTAAGACAGGAGCTCAAACTTGTAATCCTCCTCCCTCCACCTGCCACTAGCTGGGATCACAGCCATGCCCACCATGTCCAGTTATGGTGGCACCTCTTTTACCAGTGTTTTTCTCTGAGCCCCTTCTTAGGGAGCTAAAATGAGAGGCTAAGTGCCTGGGTAGGCTATACATGAAAAATATACTCTTGTATCCATATTTCCTCTACATCATACTAAAGAAACTAGTACTTTTACTTCTTTTAGTGTAGACCCACCGAATCCAGGTTTCTGTTTCTCTACAATTAGTTCACCTACTCCAGTTAGCATATTTTCTGAAGAAAAGAGAGTGCTAGAGACTTTACACCAGTAATTAAATATTTGAGCCTGGAAGTCACATATGTGACTTTCCTCAAAACATACTGACCAGAACCATTTGGCCCCTCATGAATGAATACAGCAAAACAAAATCTTTTAGGGAAGCAGAGGACTAGATGCTTATTAGCCCCTCACCCCTGTGACTCAGTGCTGGGGCTGATTAAGACTTGCAGTATCACACACCATTCACACAGCCTACTGGACAGACACCTTGCCTATGGGTTGTACTTTCATTTCTCCTCAACAATCATGAGAACAGAGTTCCTCAATTTTCAACATGGAGAATGTTCTTTAGTTGTTTTCTCTCTCAACTCCCTATATCTTATAAATATAAAGCATCCGTAGTGACTAATACTTCAGGTGTCAAGTGGGAGTATATCTGAACTGACCTCAAGTCAAAACTAAGATGTGAGCCTGAGCCACTGGCTTATGCAGTTTATTGCTGTTTTTCGGGTCTTCTAGAGCCAAGACTTGTAATTACTGGTTCTGTTTTATAGTGGAATGCTATGGTTTTATGGCTCAATAATTATATAGCTAGCTTGGGAGGGGTGGTTTAGGTTGTCTAGTCACTTGGACTTCCACAATCAGGTGTTTAGTTTCTACAAGGACTCTGTAGCAAGCTGAGAATAGTTTTTCAAATGAAGAATAACTACAGTATGGCCTTCTCCCAAACAGAAAGAATTTTCTTTGTGGATTGGCAGTCTCCAAACACCAGTACTACTTGATCTGCTAGGTCATAAGACCCAAGTGATATGTCAGCTGCCTCCTACCCTGGATCAGCTATAGAGCTTGTTCTTGTTCTAACACTTACCTAAAAATGAAGGCCTATGGGTTTTCTCATAAATATGTTGGTGCAACATTCCCAAATATGGCCTTTGTTGTTACTGAAATCCAGAATGGCTCATCTAACACAGCATGTCCTTTGCTGTGGATGGTACAATGTACTGCTACTGGGTATTTGTGATCACCACAGCACCTGTGAATCCCATGTCTGACATAACCTTGATCAGCCTTATATCCTAGTTTGCATGTTTTATTTAGCCAAATAAACCAGACCACCAGCTCTCTGTGCTCTACAGGGCTGCTTTGGGATGGGCAGCCCTATGGAGCACAGAGGGCTGGTGGTCTTGCCAGCAATGGACCCTCAGAAGAAAAGTACATAACATTGGCTACTTGCTCCTTCATAGTTCCTGATTTTACTTGGAAAATAAACACAAGATAAGCCTGTGGTCCCACTCAACCTACTGAGAGAAGAATTTGGGCCAAGATTTTATTTTATTTTTTTAAATCTTTATTTTATTGGTACATTTTAGACATACATAGGATAATATGCATCATAGGAAATTTGTACCTGTACACGGTATAACAGGATTTTGTGTAACACTTGATTATTCATATGTCCCAACTTTGGTGTATGTAACAGTGCCAAGGTCTGGGTATTTTTCTTTTCCCAGGGTACAGTCCCCTGAATAAATAGCCCCTGGTCCATCTGTGGAAGACTTGGGAGGAAATCCACCATATGTACAAATTGCTGCACTGCAGGGTTCTTCAAGTACCTGGCTTTCACTGGGTAGAGGGGCATTAACTATACACTGACTTAGCTATGGTAAGCTATGAATCCTAGCAGCATTGTCTAACTAGTTACTGCCCTGCAAACCTAAAAGTATTCCTCTGCTGTACAACAAAGAACCTCAGTAAGCTGTCCATCTACTTCCTTTCAAAACACTCCTATTCCTTGTGACACATTGTACTAAATGTATCTAAACTTGCCTTTGTCTGCTAAGTTCCACCACTTAACCTCTACCCATTCAGAATCCCATTTTCCTACTATAATCAGGAAATACAATTTTTGCAGCATCTCACAGTCTTTCTTCCTGGAAGTCAAAACAGTCACAAAGGGATCCCACACACACACTACAAGAGATTGGGAAGGGAGTGAAGGAAGGGGGGGAGAAGGAAGGAGAGAGTAGGCATAAGAAGAATGAACATTATTGATGCATGATCTATATTTATGGAGATAGCACAGTGAATCCCATTAATTTATACAATTAATAGGTGTTCATAATGATATTTCTTAAAAATACACCCCTTCTCCATTGCTTAATGAAGAGGTATCCCTCAGACCTTCATCCAGGGTATGATTAGTTAGTTGATGGCAGAGCTATCTGCCAATAACAGGACTTAGTAAGTCAAATCAAGAAGCTGTCACTGTTGCTAGTTTCTGAAAAGTGACCCAGGAATGCTGCTATAAATCCACAACATTCTTGGGCACCTCACTTTGCCATATAGCCACAGATTAACAAAGCTCACAGAAACACCCTGGGAGATTTTAAATTTTTGACAAATTTTTTTAGAGAAAAATTTTGGCCAAAGGACACTATAGTGGTGGCCATTAGCTTCCAGGCATTTATTAGTACTGCAAACTGGTGCTCGGGTAACCTTGGTCAAAGTGCCCATTGAGATTATTGCACGTGCAGTCTCAATTTCTTCTCTAAGGCTCTACAATGTCATGGATTTTATGCGATATTTGACACACTTTAGGGTGCCTATAGATAAAAGTCTGCAGGTGTTAAATAAGGAGAATATGTACTTAATAGAAGTTTTTCTTTTCCTGAAGTGTGTATACATTTTTTGGCAAATTCTGTATATTTTACAATTAAAAAAAAGCAAAAACAATTCTTAGCTCATGAGCCACTCTGAATCATAAGACCCACTGAACAAAATGATGTGAAATACTCAAAAAACTTTTTTCCCAAGTCACTGAACTTCATTTTTAACATGAACATGTTAAAAAGATTTTCACGTTTAATGATTATTAAACTAATATAAGTAAAATTCTTAGTAGAGTGTCTGTCCCCAGAAAATGACCATTGTACTGTAGGACACATTTTTATATCTGAAAAAATAGGTTTTTGTTTGCTCTATTAGTTTATATAGGCTTTAAGATCCCACTTGGCTTTTATTTTCTCTACAAATCTATAGACCTAACAGCTTTGAGTGCATAAGCTACCTGTCAGAATGTCAAACCCTTTTGAATCTTAAATGAATGCAACTTTTTAAAACAAGTTCCAAAAGCGGAAACTCTATGTTTGCGATTGCCTCTAAAATTAAGAAATAACTTCTTAAGGCGCTAGCTTTTAGCACCGTTGAAAACTAGGCAGAAGTTTCTGCTTCGCTGTCTTTGCATTCCAAGTAGCGCCCACGCCCACATCTGAAGAGAACCCGCCGCAATTCCAACACCCTCCACCTTTTTCCTTCCACTAACATCGGTGTGTCTGGCAGTGGTCCCGCCCCTCGCACATGACCAATCAGAGAGGGAAGAGCAAGCGGATGGGGCGGGCCCAGGTTCAAGCTGAGGACGAATCACCTGCCCCAAACGGCAAAGGCGGAAGCGGAAGAGAACCCGCCGTTCTGGTTTGGCCTTGGGTGCCACCTTATCGCTTGTCCCGTGCTAGGTAGTGATTAAATCCCAGAGCCTTATCTATCTGCAGAGTAGGCGAAAAGACGCCTACAAGTGTAGGAGGCGGGAAGCTCGATCCCCAGACAAAAGAGGGAGCGAGCAGGGAGCTACCGAGCTGCTCAGGTAGCTAGAGGCCGGTCTCGGTCAGCGCCAGTCTCCTCCAGGCCATGGTGCAAGAGGATCTCTGAGTGATCCCCAGATGAGAGTAGCGAGCCCGCTCCGGGACTCTCCAGCCGCAGGATCAGACAGGTGTGGGTTGAGAAAGGAAGGATGCTGCCCGCGCTGCTCGCTGGTAGCACCTTGAGCGGCCGCAGTTACAGCCGCAGAAAGCACAGCTTCGGCCGAGAAGACGGCTTGATCTTTTGGTAAAGTCGCCCGCCAGCTTTCTCCGTAGTCTGCGAGTTGGGAAAACCAGAGGACAGAGCTCCCCGTTACAGTCTTCTCCGAGCTCCTTTTCCTTGGTACGAGGAGCTGATTTATGAGGAAACATGCCTTGCACGTGTACTTGGAGGAACTGGAGACAGTGGATTCGACCTTTAGCTGTGGTCATCTACCTGGTGTCCATAGTCGTTGCGGTTCCCTTGTGCGTGTGGGAATTACAGAAGCTGGAGGTAAGAGGCCCTGTACAGTCGCTACTCTTCTATCTAAGCTTGGGAAAGAGACACTCCTCCCGCATCTCCACTCCAGACACCCATACTTGGTATCTGAACATGCCCTCCTGTAAATAAGCCCACACGTTGGGCATAAACCTGTATGACTTCTTGTCTGCGGTCTTTAAATGATGCTACAGATGGAGAGGTGGAACCCGGTGGACAAAATAGTTCGAGTATTTCAATGTAGCTGCCTAGGAGTGCTTTGTTCTGCCAATATTCACCAATCCCCTGAAAGTTATTAATTTTATTCCTGAAGTCTGATCCGATGTTCAGATCTTGGACTCAACTGGATCAGATAAACCACCTGGAAATCCACGTATTGAATTCTTTAGCTTTTAACTACTTTGCCAAATTAAAGTATTCTAGTTTGACTTTGTTGTTTTTACTTTTGAAATTAACCCTTAACCAAAACAAAAAGGCTTTGCAAAAAGGCCCTTGTATATTGCTTATGTCGTTTTTATATTGTAAAGTAATACAAGCCAGAAAAGACCAAAGTAAATACTTACCTAAGGTAGTTTATAAAAATGTATAATGAACTTTAAGCTCTGAGCTAGTGAAAGCCACTGAGAAGCACTTATTTTACAAGCTGACAGGACTATGGTTGTTTTAGGCCCTTTATTATAGAAATAATTTTTAAATAGTGAAATAGCATAATATATATTTATTTTGTGGTTGTTTCTTAAATTATTGTGATACTTTCTCATACTGGCATAGCCAATATAGTTATTTTTAAAGGGTGTGTAACAATCTACGGCATTAAATGTTTCTTTTAACAAAGGAAGCATCTAGCAATATTTAGGTTGCCTTTAGCTACTGAGTGTCAAGCTAACACTTTAATCACATTGTGGGTGTCCTCGTTTTTTAGTCTCCTAGTTTTGTAGTAAAAGCCATTATTTTTAACTATAATCATCAAGGCCCAATGTGATCTGGCAGCACTTTCCCTTAGACTGTCTCTCTTCAAGTCCTGGACTTCTGCAACACTAGCTTGTTCCTACGTGCTGGGCCTGCTCCTTCCTTAGAGCCTTTTCACTTCCCCTTTGTGGGATGGCCTTCCTGCAAATAATACTAATTTCTGTCCAGATCTTTACCAAAAATGTCACCTCGATACTCGTCACAGTGCAAGCTTCCTGTTCTCAACTTTTCATATCCCTTTCTCTGCTTTATTTTTCTTCCTGGGACTTATCATCATCTACCACTACATACTGTATCTGTTTTAGTCTCCTCTCCCTCCTTGTGCTCAAAGGACCAGTGCTTGAGTTAAAATGCAGATTAAGTCCCAGTGATTAGTCAGACTTTGTACACTACATAGTGAGAGGTATAAAAATGTGACACCTTGCTGACACATCGGTGGTGGCACATACCTGTAATTGCAGCACTCGGGGAGAATGAGGCAGGCTGTGGGTTCAATCACCACTACCAAGAAAAACAAACAAAAAAAAAGGGACACCTACCTTCTTGGAACTTAACATAAAGAGACAAATGCAGTGACCAAAAAAATTAAAATAAAATACTATGGAGGAAACTAAAATAGGTCTGAGAAGTTATCAGGGTGGACAGTCTTACTACGCAACCTCAGAAGACCACTGTGCCAGTGTAGCTAAGTAGGTGGAAGTGAAATGGGGAAGTCTTCTGTGCTGCCGAGAGAGTCAGTGCCTGATCGCGTGCGTGGTCCAGATCAGGACAGTAGAAGTGAAAGTAGAAGCTGGATTTTAAGCATCCTTGGAAGTGAACAGATAGCACTCGATAGTAGATTGGATTGGGGAGAAGACACTGAGAGAAAGGGCGAAAGCAGTCAAAGATGATTCCAACTTTTGGGGCTGGAACAACTGAATGAATGGAGGTGTCAGTTACTGAGATGGAAAATTGAGGGCTAGAAACAAGTTTGGGAGAAATTCAGTCCCACCATGGACATTTAGTGTAATGAGTGACAGTCAAATGAGCATGTCAGATATGCAGTTGGATATGCAAGTGTAGAGCTCAGAAAGGTTTGCTCTACGGATGTAAACATAATGGTTTGTCTTAATCAGCTCTGTCATTCATAAGAAAATATCATAAATTGAGTGGCTTTCAGAATGGAAATTTATTGTCTCACAGTTTGGGGGGTTTTTTGTTTGTTTTTTTGAGACTGAGTCTTTCAGGCTGGCCTTGAACTCATGACAATCCTCCCGCCTCAGCCTCCTGAGTACTGGGATTATAGGTGTGTGCCACCATACCTGGCTATTTCACAGTTCTTGAAACTATTTTGGAATCAAGTGTCAAATTGCCAGCATGGCTGACATCTAGGGGAGGTCTCCCTTGGGTTGTAGATGGCTGAGTTCTTGCTTTGTCCTTTCATGGTAGACAGAGAACCCTCTGGTGTCTCTTCATCTTATAAGGCCGCCAACCAACCATATTGGAATAGCACTGCATACTTATGACCACGTTTAACCTAAATGGCTTCCTAAAGGCATTATTTCCAAGTAGAAGCAGTCACATTATGGGTTACAGTTTCAACATACGAATGGGAGGATGGGAAGACTTCAGTCCACAGCACAGTTGTCAGAGTGGAGATAGTATTGAAGGCCATGAAGATGGACAGGATTATAAAAGAGAAAAAGAAGAAATGGCAAAGTGCCTAGCACCAATATTTAGAGGTCAAAGAGAAAACTAGGCGTTTGCAAAGAAGACAACATGGCAGCCAGTTGGAAAGTGACTGCCAGCAGTTTCCAGGAGGACATAGTGAACAATGACCATTGCTGCTGCCATCATTCCCATTGTTTCTCATAAATGGCAAGGCCGCTGGTGGTCTCAGTAACAGTCTCAGTGGAGGTATAAGCGGTGACAGCGGCACGGAGCTGTCTGGGGAATGAATATAGGTGCAAAAGAGGATTTAGGAGAGGAAGATGTGTTTTCTGTTCACGTTTGTTTTGGGAATATTGAGTGAAGGGGCCTGAGCAATGAATAGTATAACAGGGGGAGAGGAGTGTGAGCCTATGGAAAGGGTTATTTTTCTTGTAATTTGTCTTCAGTTTTACAGACACTGACTGTAGCACATCCCCAGGGTTCAGCCACAGCTATGATTTCATTTCATCTTCTTAATAACTTCAAAGAACAGGAAGTAACTTCATTTTACAGAAGTGAAAACCGAGGCAGAGATTCTTGGCCAAAGTGACGTTGTGCGAAGGGGTTTATGTACAATATTCTTACCGTTCTTCTCATCGTCCACTAACCTTTGTGTGTGTGTCTCTAAAGCCCTTCACACTGTGCCCAGCAAGAATGGGTGCTCAATAGGTCAAGTTACTACTGTCGTTCTTTTAAATGATCAGTGTCAGTATTGCATTGGCTTGGAATTCTTTTCTTGTGCAATAGCAGCTCAGATGGAATAAAGCTCTCAGTTGGATATCTAAGGCAACATCACATGTGCCAGTGACGTGCTACATGCACTTTGACTTACACTTACGGACATTTTGCAGGAAAAATGCCTGTCCTTTGAATACTAGAATCACAATGCTCACTTGGTGAGAAGTCCTTGGGAAGTGAGATGACAAAAGAGGTTTATATAGTTCATCTCATGCTCATCTTGGGCCAGGTACTGGTTTATTGGGGCGCAAGGTGACCGTCTGTACTACTGAAACATTTCCCTCCTTGTGTGACTTGACTGAGCATGTGTCATTGACTGTACATTGCTCATTATTCTTTTCACTGTGGCCCCTCACTCTGGATGTTCTGCTGTCTGACCAGCAGGAGGAGGGCCTGGAATCTGCTGTCCTTACTCATCTCCACTCGATTTGAAGTTTTTGGCCGAGGGAGAGTTAATTTACTCCTCGATGCTTGTCTTTAATGGTTTTTTTCTTTCCTTCTTTCCTCAAATTTCTTTAGAAAAAATATCTACTCCTATCTTCCTCCTCATTTTGTGACCATAAAAGAGACAAGTTTAGGAATAATGTTAGTGGTGTCTTTGTATCCCTGTGCCTCAAAACTGAATAAATCGTTGAGGTAAATATATATTTAATTATTGTATTAATTTCTACAGACGTGATACTGACTTATTTTATAATGTTGCTTAAATACCCATAAAATAAATTTCTTAAGCACAGCTTTAAAATCAAAACTACTATAAAAATCATAATTCGAATTAATGACATTAATGTGGACAGATGCTTTTTGGAAACTAAATTGCCATATCAAGATGCTGTGTCAAAGTGATACTGACTGTGGGGTGCAAGGTTTTTTTAAATTCCACCTGACTGTACTGTGACGGCTCCTTCCTCCAGCCGCCTGTTTTATGATGGTTGGAGAAAGAACTTCCTTCCCTAAGCTTCGTGAGGATGCTTGGCCTTCATTAGTCACAAGCTCACCATCCTCCTTTACCATCTAGTTCTCCTCTACCATCTAGTTCTCCTCTACCGTCCAGTTCTACTTTTTGGCACCAACACAATCATTAAAAACAACTGTGGACATTGAAACTGCTTGCATTTCTGTTCTTAAGGGTCACATTGTACCGGAGAAACTAGAACATGCTTTTTATTTTCTGAGATCATTGTAGAGTGTCAGTTTTTTGTAAGTGAAACTTCTATTTTAAATGAAATTGAGGAAGGCAAAAAGGCCTGGAAAACGAGTGCCCCTATATTCTATTTGGAATCTTCACCTCTTCATATCTTTTCACTTTTCTACACTTTTCACGTTTTCTGCACATTTTATTGTAGAAAGTTATTGCTGTAAAAACACAGTTGTTCTCCATACTTTTGTTTTCTATCTCTTTAACCTTTGGCTCCAAGTTGGGAAAATCTTGTTCAAAACAGTGAAGTTAAAATTGTAGACTTTAGTTTTATCTTAATTTTAACTGTGCAAACCAAACCCTTTTAAGACCAAAAAGTCAATACCATTTTTCCTTTAGAAAAACAAAAAGAGGATTCACTCTTTTTAAGGTAGGATTACAAGTTAGTATGAAATTCATTCCCTGGAGTCCCTCAGAAGAGAACAGAGGTTCAGATAAATTTGGGGTTTTTTTTTTACCAGAAATAAATACAGCTTCCTTCTGCTGTACTTTAAGATGAGATGACTCCAAGTGTATTTTTAGAAACAGCTCTTAAAATAAAATATTGATCAGGTATTTACCCAGTAAGGACATTAAGGAATTTTAAAATGATAAAATCCTAAGTTGATATCTTGTACATGAAAAGTAGTATATGTTCCAATTTGCTTGGATAGTGGTGTAACCTAGTTACCAAGTGGGAGAGTTTATGTAAAGAACTTAGACCAATAACCCCAGTGTTCACTGTTGTTTTCATGTGGCAGGTTACTAACATGCTTCACAGTAAAAGCCACGCACGGTGGGGAAAGCCTGTAATCCCAGAACTCTGGGAGGTTGAGGCAGAAGGATCAGAAGTTTGAGCCCAGCCTGTTTAATTTAGCAACTTAGCAAGACCCTATCTCAAAAGTTTGAAAAAGGTCTGGGAGTATAGCTGAGGGCAAGGGCCCTGGGGTTCAATTCCCAGTACAGGGGGAAAAAATGTTTTGCTGTAACATGGGAAGAAAATGTTAGTAGATTTTTAACTTTGTGTGCGTGGAAGCAAAAGGAATAAACCATTAGAAGTTATTTAGATTTAACTTACAGAAAATGTCAAGGCTTGTGTACATCTTCAAATGCAGCAGTCAAAAAAAGGGCAAAGAATGAGCTGGAAGAATGGCATGATGTTGATATATAAAAACCTGTCGTAAAAGGCTTGTTGAGGGAAAATGCTCAACCCCTTGAGGAAAAATATGCCCTTTCCCTCCAGAAAACACAATAGGTTGTTTATTTTGAAGATAAAATAAAAATAGCCATCAATCCTTTAGAAAATGTTGAGCTGGGCATGGTGACAAATGCCTGTAATCCCAGCACTTCAGAGGTTGAAGGAGGAGGATCACTGCAAGTTTGAGGCCAGCCTGAGCTACAAAGTGAGTTTAAGGTCAGCCTGAAATGCATAGCGAGACCCTAGCCTCAAAAAGAAAAGAAAATATTGAGCTTCATTTGTAATCAAATGAAAATTTAGGAAGTAAACATTTTATTGAGTCTAGTTATAAATCACGATCTCTGCTAATGTGCTCCTTTGTTTCTCAAGGTTGGAATACACACCAAGGCTTGGTTTATTGCTGGAATCTTTCTGCTGCTGACGGTCCCTATCTCGCTGTGGGGGATCCTGCAGCACCTCGTGCATTACACACAGCCTGAGCTACAGAAGCCGATCATAAGGTTCCGCTTCTATTTTGATTCTCCTGATGCTGTGTTGGCTTCTATCATAAACGTAACAGAAAATGTTTAAAATGTATTCTTTGCTTTCCAAACAGGGTTCTTTGGATGGTACCCATATACAGTTTAGATAGTGTAAGTACGTTTCATTTTATTTCACTAGCTAAGAATTTGTTTGATGATACTGCTTGTTATAGAATGCTTCAGGTCATGAAAGTATGTTATTGACAGTGAGTTTAATAAAAACAAAAAGATTCCCTTTTTTTAATGTTGATAAGATAAAGTATGATAATAGAAAATGAAAACTGCATATATTTTAAATTTTCAAAAGCCTGTCACTCTTAGCTGAATTTTTAAATTTTCAGATTAGTCGTTCTTAGTTCTTTAACGAACATAATACTTTAAATTACCGTTTTACTTTGGTACCGACAGAGATACCGAATGTGCTGATGCTCAGCTTCTTCATGTAAAATAGGCAGTGTCAGCGTGTGACCTGCGCACGGCCTCCCACGGGTGTTTAGTGCTCTGTATACCATCCATCCTCTCTAGGTGACCTGTGATGCCTGACACCTGTAATACCCATCATCCCTCACCTACAGCACCTGCAAATGCTATGTGAATGGTCCTTATGCTTTATTGTTGAGCAGATAATGACCCCAAAATCTGTACATGTTTAGTACAGATGGAGCACTTCTCATTTCATTGTTGCAAATATTTTTATCTAGGTTTGGTAGAACCCACAGATTCTTGGTAGGGATAGTTGACTGTACATTATAACCTTTTTTATTTATTAATCTTTCATTTAATTCAAAACTTTTGTACATTACCCAATGGTTATAGCTACTGCTCTAATTTGATTAGATATAAAGAAAATGTCTATAGCAATATTTTCTATGCCCATATCAAGAAAATTTTCAGATTACATTTCAGAACTCAGTTTAGCTTAGCTCATGTTATTTACCCCCAAACACTTATCTTTTTATTTATCTTTGTGCAAGATGTTTATTGCTTTTGATGAGATCAGGCGCATTCAGGGTGGTATGGCCATAGACTGTTTATTGCTTTAGAAAATTAGTTTCTGAGAGCTTAGGATATAGCTCAGTGGTAGAACATGTACACACAATTCACAGATTATCTGCTAGCCATTATAATGATAAACTATAGAGCATTTAATGTAAGTATGTGGCAAGACATCTCAAGTAGCTTATTTTGAATACCATGAATTAGAGTGGTAATTTTGTATAAGCTTCAACTATTTTTAACTTCTGTGCTTTTTCATAGTGGGTAGCTCTGAAATATCCCAGGATTGCAATATATGTGGATACCTGCAGAGAATGCTATGAAGCTTATGTCATTTACAACTTCATGATATTCCTCACCAATTATCTAACTAATCGATATCCAAATCTGGTATTAATCCTTGAAGCCAAAGACCCACAGAAACATTTCCCTCCTTTATGTTGCTGTCCACCATGGGCTATGGGAGAGTAAGTATGTTTGGCTTGATTCTTTTCTGTTTTAGTTTTATTTAATCAATTCTTTATTACCATTCAGTTCTCTGCAAGGTGGAGCAGGGCAAAAGGAAGAAGACCGAGTCCCTCCCCTGGTGTAGTTCATAGTCACATTTGAAGAGTAACAAAACATATTTTTATAATCTGCATGTTAGTGTTTTTTACATTGTTCATCCAAATATAAAAGCTCAACGGTGCACTGCAGGAGAAAACCTTAGAACTCATTTAACCAACATCCTTATACAATTGGGAATCAAGTTCTGCAGATTTTCTGCAAAATTCACAAACTAGTTAAAAGACACACGGAGAAGATAATCTAGGTGGAAAAACAGCAGATGATATGAAACAGGAGCGACAAACAGCAGTGCTTATTCTAGTAACATATTTAGTTTGCCCTATTACATGTTCATATAGATAGTAAAAAAAACAAGCCTGTGTCATTTAGACCTCTCATTTTCAAATGTAAATTGAGGTTAAGATTGCATTTATTACATGTAGGGACCACTGGGTGTTTCAGCAAGGAAACACTAGGAAGTTCTGATAGTCCATTTGTGAAAAAAGGGATGAAATAGCAATAAAAAGAATAAGAAAGAAAAAGACAGAGAATAAGAAAAAGAAAAACAAGAAGAAAATGCAACTGAAGAACCAGTAAAACTTGACCACTGTCAGAGGGGGAGCAGGGAAGTTACAAGCTAAAGAAGACAGAGTGATGCGGAGCCATAGGAATCAGTTTAGACATAAACGTGGGCATGGCTGCGTTGCCTCCTGTACAGTGCAGAACCATATGTGTGACATTCTTCACATTGTTCTTACACGCTTGAGATAAGGAATTACTTGGCTTTTTAAAAATAATAAGCCGCTTGTGTGTTTATTCGGTAAAAATGTATTGATCACCTAGTAAGTGCCAGTACAAAAAATAGTGTGGTACGTACAACAGAGAGACCTCAGGAACTTAGTTTGATTAGGAGGGTCAGAAGTTAGTGAAGATATAAACAGCTACTGATTTCAGAAAGTACAGTGAAAGAGAACAGGAGGGCTTGAGGACAATAATATGGGTGGGGATAGACTCTGTAGATTGGGGATGAGGAAGAAATACTACACAGGAGGTACTAAGCTCGATTCCAAATAAAAGGGCAAATAGAGATTTGTAGCTAAAGAGCAGATTGAGGAATCCATGGATGCACAATTACTAAGAGGTGACATGAAAGGAGGAACCTTGCTGAACTGACGTACTAGGATTTTTGGTAAAAGCCAACGGGATTCTTGCTGAGACACCCAGGGTGAGTGAGGACAGACTTGACTCATGGCGGAGCTTCCATGTCAGGGGAGTGGGGGTGACTCAGGATTCCTGCCTAGACTGACTGAAAGCAGACCAAGGACAGTGCCCAAGCGTGAGATCTGCTCAAGAAGAGGGCTCAAAGAAACCTGTCTCAAGTGCGGTCATCAAAGACCTGTCAGAAGACAAGCTGTTACGGGATGATATAAAAAGAACTGGTGTCCAGATTTTTCAATAATGATGTGTTTTTGTGAACTAAATTGGAAGGGGGAGAAATAAGAGATTGCAGTAGCCTAGTATATATGGTGGTAGCAGTGGCAGCGTGGCTTTGATCAGATCTCTTCTATTAATAGAGAACCTGAAAAAAAAAGAAAATTAAAAAAATAACCTGAACTGGTACTCAAATCTTTTATAGATGATCCTGCTCAAAATTCTCATATTCTGTGCCTCTGCACATGATTTGTTCCTAACTATATATTACACGTGTTCTTGTTAAATCTGTATGCATTGGGTTCATTTTTAACTGAGACTTGAATTTTGACAATTGCTAATTGAATAATGTGACCTAGCAATGTACCCATAATATAACAGGGGTTTTCTTGCCTTTGAAAAAACATTAAATGGTTACCAAACAATTACTATAGCTTAGTAGTAATGAAACTTTCTTCTGTGTGTATAAACACATTTTAGGTTATTCACCTCCAATTGATAATAGGTATTTTATTTGATAATTAATCAGGCAGTGCTGTTCAGGATAATTGAGCATAATATTTTAGCTTTAAGAGTCAAGCACTATGGAAGGTTTGCAGTTGGTAAAGAATAAAAGCAGTCTCCTTTTTATACTCTGATTTCTGCAAATTGGTCCTGAGCACAATCAGTTTTCTTTTAATGAACTTTCAAGATTTGCTAGGTAGCTCACAGAGGTGGGAGAAACTTAGTGACTCAGTACGTTCGTACTTCCATAACTGAAGCAGATGTTTTTACTAAGTAGTACTAACCCTTAGTATCTCATTATTCTTCCCTTTCTCTTGTTTTTAAGTGGTCACAGCCCACTACCTTGAACTTCACAGTTTGAACAGCATTGTTCTAGGTGTATACCTTGACAGGGGTATGCCAGGTCTTTTCAGTTTAGTTCAGCTTTGCAAGTTAGTGGCAAATGGTTTTCTGAAGTGTATTAAATTACGCTCTACCAACCCCGTGAGAGAGTCCTATTGATCACCTCTTTGCTTACCTTTGGAATTACCCAGACTTCTTTATGTTTGCCTGTCGAGAGGATATGCAGTGGTACAGCACTGTGGGCTTCAGCTGGATTCCCCTGATTAGTAATCCCGTTGAGCATCTTTTCATGTTAGTCACTTGTTCTTGCCTTTCAGAGGAGTGTGTGTGATTCTTCTTTTTCCTAATGGGCTGCCAGTCTTCTGGAGTTATATGGGATCTTTAAAAATTTGCAACGTATTCTTTGATGTGTTGTAACTTGCTTTTGACATGCTTTGCCACGTTCACTGGATCTTTTGATAAACATTTCTTTTGAATATTAATGTAGTTGAATTTCTCAATCTTATTTTGTATTTAGACCCTTTGGGGTCTTGTTCAAAAATTCATCCTGGGGCTGGGGATTTAGCTCAGCTGCAAAAGCGCTTGCCTGGCAAGCGCAAGGTCGTGAGTTCGGTTCCTGGTACCGGAGAAAAACCAAAAAAAAAAAAAAGAATTCATCCTTAGCCCAGGATTATAAAAACATTTTCAAATATTATAAAAACATTAGCTAGGAAAAAATGTTTAAAAAGCTTTTCTTTTAAACATTTCAAAGTTTTACCTTTGAGACTTAATATTTAATCCACCAGCAGTTGAGAGAGAGAGAATGTGTGTCTGTGTGGGTGTGTGGGTGTGTGTGTGTGTGTGTGTGTGTTGCATGAGCTAAAAATGCAGTTTCACTTTATTCTTTTAGCTAACTGCCCTAGCACCATTCTCTCCCTTTCACCTTACTGACTGATGTTGGCACCTGTCCTATACTACCTTTCCATATGTGTGGGTGTGTTTCTGGTCTTCTTCTGTTTTATTAACTTTTCTGTTCATTAACCAGTTTCATGTATTAGCTTTTATAGCTTATTTATAAACTTTAAGGTATAGGGCAAGTGCCCAAACCCTGCTATCTCAGCTATTCTTATGTTTGCTTACAGGAGGAGTGGTCAAAACATACTGTGAGTGTTTAGTTTTTTAATTATTACCATAAAAGATGCATTACCCTTAATCCCCATCAAACTACTCCTCCTTGCTTTGAACACACTTATGTCATTCTTACCACTTTCTGAAGCAGTGCTTTCTGGAAGTCCTCTTTTGTGGATGTCTTTAGATGCGCTGTTTGTGGCTGCCTTGATGTCCTGAATCGATTCAGAATGTTTCCCTTTCATGGTCATTTTGACTTTGGGGAAGAGCTAGAAGTTACATGATGCCTCTGATTTGCTGAGTAAGGTGGAGGAGGACTCACTGTAATGTTTTTATGAGCCGGTCTTTCAATTGGATGGTGATCAGCAGCATTTTGATCCCACCTTGTAGTCAGGAAAAAGGACTTCCAGAACTGCTTCAGAACGTGGTAAAAATGATGGGTAAGTGTGTTTTTTGAAATGAGGGGGAGTATTTTGAGGGAGATTTATGTATCTTTTACTATAATAAATTCTTTATAAACATTTACTGTATATGTGGATCACACTGTTTACAATATATACAAAGTCTAACCGGACTCTGGAGAGCTCCCCCTCACACCATTCACAGGAGCCTGAGTAGTAGGGAGCAGTCGTATCCCATCTCCAGACCAGAAGCCAGAGAGACTGGTGTCTCCCAGTTCTCTCCACGGGCTGCCCACAGGTGACCACAGGACCTTCCAGTAGGTCCCACTTGTTAAAAGTTCTCCACCATCCTGGGGACCAAGCCCGTCTGCACCTTTGAGGAAGACCTAAAACACAGCAGAGCCCAGTGCAGCTCTTAGCCCACCCGCCACCAGCACAGGGGACTCTAGTTGAACATGCAAGGAGCTACCTTAGCACAGAGAAGGCTCTTGGCTTAGGAAATTCCAGTAGTTCTTATTTGGCCTACCGTTCTGACACCTTAAGGTTGTGCAGCACATTCGCTACCTTCTCAGTCTAGGTATGGTCCTTCAACCAGTTCTCCTGACAAAGGTACTAAGTAGGTGTTTGCCTTCAAAGCAACTTGGTGTAAGTTTTGAAGGGGCCTTTACATGGTTCTCAGGACTTGTTTTGGTAGCTGTCTGGGGTCTCTTCTGTTTGTTTGCTATTCCTTGTGAGTCAGTCCTACACTGAGTGAACCCAGCAACAGAATAAAATCTGTTTTATGTAGGCTGTTTGTTTTGTCTTTTCAGAATATCTAAGCAGTGACACTCCTTTTCATGTTTAAATTCTAAATTTGAAACTGAATCCTAAATATAAATACCTTTTAAATATGCATTCACGTGTGCGTGCACACACACACGCACGCACGCACACACAAAATTTGTTACTCAACTTTTGTTCCAGAAAAACACAGAGACTGTGTTAGTAAGCTTTTTGTCATGTGACACAATAGCTGAGGTAAACAACTTACCAGGGGAAAAGCCTTACTTCGGCTCACAGTTGCAGCGGTTTCAGCCCAGGGTCGCTGCTCCGGATGGTGGCAGCATAACACCATGCTGTGAGCATGTGGCGGAAGAGGCCACTTCACCTCATGGCAGCCAGGAAACAGAAGAGGCCAGAGTCCCAGCCTTCCCGTTAAGGAATCTCCCTCACTGTGACCTGACTTCTTTCCTCTAGGCTGTACCTTCTAAAGATGCCACCACTTCCCAGCAGTGCTGCAGGCCGCAGGCCACAGGCCACAGGCCAGGAACCAACTCTTCAACATAATGGGCCTTTGCTCACATTTCCGATGCAAACTGTAGCAGGGACCCACCTCTGCCCTTTTTGTTCTGTGTGGCACTATTCTGGAACTCCAGACTATATGAAAAGCGAGATCTTTCAGGTGATATTCTTGTAGAATAATTTTTAAAGTGGTATTTAGATGATTTGCTGCCATCCACGTCCTTCCCCCACTGCCATTCAGAATGACTAAATTGAAGGTGTTAAATATAAATATGGTATCGTTTATCAAAGTGATTTTAATTTGAGGATGTTTGGATGCTGTCTAAGGAGTGAGATGCTAAGTTCCTTTTCTCTTGCAGGGTGTTGCTGTTTAGGTGCAAACTGGGTGTGCTGCAGTACACAGTTGTCAGGCCAGTCACCACCGTCGTCGCTCTGTAAGTACACAGACCCTACAGGCCCCATTTTAAATCCTTGTACCCTGAAGTAGAAACTGAGTAGAAAAAAAGTGTGAATTGTTAATAGAATAAGCCTAGCCTGCTAGAAAAATCTCAGTATATAAAAGCCTTACTCTGTGAAGATAAATGACTGTTCACAGGCAGAGTCAGCAGGATTTACATCCTCATGAATGAAGCACTTTCAAAAATGTGCTTTTACACATGTGAACGCTCCCACAGCTTTGCATAAAGTTAAAGCATGCAACTTCAGGCTGACTGCATAAGTTTACTTGGTACATAGTTACGTTAGAACATATTGGGAGCACTATCCATATAAAGTCCTATTTTTCTTTAAACACTGTCAACGTTTTTACAACTTGAGGTGAACACAGGATATTATTAAGCTACCTGTAAAACTTTCCTAAAAGTTGAAGAACGTCAAGTAATCAAACCAGGTAGATTGTATGTCTTATCTCTTAGTCCTTACTGACATTCTCTGTCTCACAAAGGAAAGATAGAAAGACAGGTTAAAAAAAGAATTCTTTGTATATTTCCTTTGAGCAAGGAATTATTTATGAAGATCTCTTTATGAAGGTGTGCTTTATTTCTTGCAGCTTAGAAACTGGATGAGTGTACAACTCAATCCTTAGCGTGAAATTTACTTGAAGGGACTGGCTCTTTGTACTAACCTCTAAGATAATTTAGGGGGAAAACTGAGGTATACTTAAAAACACATATGTTCAACAGCCAGCCTTTTCAAAATCAGGCATAGTTTTTTTGAAGTTGATGATTAATCTTTCTGTTTCAATGTATTGGTCTTATTTTTGTATTTCCTTCAAGTTGGCAGAATAATCCTGGTAACATTTCCAGAAAAATACTTTAATTTTGAATCATCTGTGACCAAAGCCAAGTGATTTTCTGTATGGTTATTCAAATAAACTGACTTCTGAGTTTAAGTATTGCTGTTATTATATTTTCATACATAGTTTAATCATAAAATTGTCCCATTTTACCATGTTTTATAGAATCTGTGAACTGGTCGGTATATATGATGAAGGAAATTTTAGCTTTTCAAATGCTTGGACTTACCTGGTTATATTAAATAATATGTCGCAATTGGTAAGTAAATACTCATAATTAAAAGTTAACCTCTGTAGTTAAATATTTTTAGGCATAGTTTCTTGGAATAAAGCTTAATTGCTTTTTTCAACTTGAAATTTATACAAAAAAATTTTTTAAAAATTATATACCATTATACAGTGTATGAAAATACATTGACATCTTTGTTGTATAGTGGCTCATCCTCTGACCTGTTAATTGTATCTGTTTATTTATCTCTGATTCTCATTGCATAGTTTTGTGGGTATGTCATAAATAAAAGCAGTGCCCCCTAAGTAACACCAGAAGGAAAGACACACACACACTGGGCATATTCTGTAAAAGAAGCTGTCGAATTGGTGTCCAACAGCCCAGGTTTAAATAAAAATGTGATAATAAAATTCTCTGATATTACATAGTTGGAATCAAAGGCAATTAAGACCTTCACAATTCTAGAAACTGAAGTGTTCTGATAACTATTTGATCCTGTGGATTTAAAGAACATGCGTTTGACTTAAAATCATTGCTTAATGCTTTCAGCAGAATAATAATTTAGGTGCAGTGCATCGTACTAGAGCTTTGTAATAAAAATTAAATGGCTACCTGTCCAAAAGCTTTTCCACATGTTCATCTTCTTGTGACCAGTAATTCTTTTTCCAGGCAGGTACTCTGTTTTTTGTTGTTCTTATTTTTGGTTTTTGAGCTCACTGTATGTAGTTCAGGTTGGCCTTGAATGCGTTATGTAGCGTAGGCTGGCTACTTGTAGCAGTCTACTTGGCTTAGCCTTCCAAGTGCTGGGATTATTCTAAATAAATGGTTAGATGTATTTGCTTTGAATATAAAGCCTAATATTTGTAGCAAAAGCATGGAAACAACTCAAAGCCTAGTGATAGAAACTATTTAAATCTATTATGGTCTTTCCATTGGCCAAAATATTAGTTCTTTAGAATAGTCTTTATAAAATATGCAAAGTTGTATATTTAGTTCATGGCATCTATTTTAAAAACCAGCTTATATTTGAGGCTGTAGCTCAGTGTAGAGAGCTTATTGAGTACAAGTCAGATACTGAGTTTGATCTGCAGCTGTGTTTAAAAAAATAAGGAAAAAAACACAAGTGTATAGGTACAAAGGAACGGTTGATAGGAGTCTGAATAACTGTCTTTCCTTATTGCTTTCTATTCTGAAATACTGTCTTAATGGAAAAAATAAACATTAGGAAACTGGTTTTCCTATTCAGATACTACACTACATTGTTATAATTGAGTTCTAAAATCTTAAACGTTCATTTTAAAGTTAATTCACCTAGACTAAAATACCACCCTCAAGAAAAATTGCCTTAATTCTTTATTTTCTGATTTCATGATCTCAATTTTATTGAAACCACATTTTTAAGGTACTGCCTTAATATACATAGTGTTATATAAAACAGACTAATAAGCTAAACCCTTAAAAACAAAAAACTAGTGTTTATTAGTATTTAAAAGACATCATAGATTTATTCTGGCTGAACCAGAACCTTTTCTTCCATTTATGTCTGTCATTTATTGATTCTTCCCTTTATGAACCACTGTAAATGAACACTCAGCATTTTCAGGGAAGGTGTTACATGTCTCTTTTGAAAACTTTCCTGTTCTAGATATTCATCTACAGCAAATGTTAAAAGCCTGTTTTTAATCTACAAATAGAGTAATAAGGCCTAGAAAAATTTGCCTAAAATATTGCTCTGTAGCAAGTCTTTGGTTTATAATTTAATCTTCATTATTCTTGCTAAGAAGTTGAAATGTTAATCTTCTTTGCAGTTCGCCATGTATTGCCTTCTGTTATTTTATAAAGTACTCAAGGAAGAACTGAGTCCTATCCACCCTGTTGGCAAATTTCTTTGTGTAAAATTGGTGGTTTTTGTGTCTTTTTGGTAAGTGTTGCTTTCCCTTAAATGTTATTTCTCTATGGTTTGTTTTGGGTTTTTTTTGTACGGGGAATCGAACGCAGGACCTTGAGCTTGCCAGACAGGCGCTATGCCACTGAGCTGTATCCCTGGCTTTAAATGTTGTTTTTCTAAAAGGCAGTAAAACAATTTTTAAAGGAATCTTACTGCAGAAGATGGATTAAAATGTCTCTTCTTACTTGAAACAAAGTCCATCCTTTTAGCCCTTCTAGGATTTCCATAAGGAAATAATCAGATGACCACTGTCACATGTATTAAAAAGTTTTTAAATAACCTAATTATCTCAACACTGATAGAATCATTAAAATAAATCATGCTCCTGTCATAATATAATACTATGCAGTTTGGGAGAAAGCATGATGTAGTATATTTAATGATATGGAAAGTGTTCATCAGGAAATACTCTTTAAAACAAGACAGTAATGCATGGTTTCAGCTTAGTAAAAAGGGCAGAATAGAGGGCATTCCAGAAACAACTAAAACAGATACACCAGGGGCTGGGGATTTAGCTCAGCGGCAAAGCACTTGCACTACCCAAAAAAAGGAAAGGAAAATTATTCATGAATTCCTCTTGCCAGAAAAAATGACTAACATTTTGGTATACATGTATGTAAAACTGCACAGAAGTGATTTTATAGTATAAAAACTTAGAGAACAATGTATGTTATTATAGTTACAGTCCTTTTGTGAAGAGAAATATAATTTTGTTGTTTTGGGGATTTTTGTTTTTGCTTAGTATTCTGTTGTATAGGTACAACTTTTTAACCAACCTTTTATATCTAAGTTTTTCACTTTTTTTTTTTCGGTACCAGGAATTGAACTTAGGACCTTGCACTTGCCAGGCAGTTGCTTGTGCCACTGAGCTATATCCCTGGCCCAAGTTTTTCACTTTTAAAGTAGCATTGAAGTGAATGTTTTTAAGGTTTCTGAATGCTTGTCCATCTGTTGAAATTAATGTGAGGCTGAGTGTGGTGGCACACACGATCCTGGCTACTCAGGAGGCTGAGGCAGGAGGACTGCAAGTTTGAGGCTGGCCTCAGCAACTTATCAGGACCCTTTCTTAAAAAGTAAAAACAGCCTGGGAATGGGGGCTTTAGGTTCAATTCCTAGTACCACACACAGAAAAAAATTTTTTTAAGAATTAACCTGGGACATTATGCCTAGATATGCTTAAAATGCTCAACATGATTTGCTGTCTTGGAGTCAGACCCTTTCTGAGTTTGTCTGTAGCTCCAAGAGTTTATACGACACTGCTGTCAAAATTAGTAGTGTTTTTTCCTTAAAAAGTCTGAATAATTAATACAAGTGTAAACAAAATCTGAGTATATCCTTAAATACCTACTGTACAATGTGTTAGGCATTGTCTATGTATGAGAATGACTTGAAATGTAATTATTTATGCATACTTTCAAAACAAATATATGTAAACTAAGTAAAGCGTTCTGAGAATCCATAGTCAAAATTCCTCTGTAAAACTGTATTATATTTGTACATTTGTAAAGCAAGTACAGGTATTTAATCTGCACAGTTGCTTTGGGAAGAGGCTGGAAGGGTAATGTGGTGGTAGTCTGCAGGTTGCACTGGGGTTTTAAATTTTTTAAATGACATTTTTAAAACAACTGCTTATTTTATGCTTGATGTAGATTTGGCGTTTACCTTTTCCCAACATATAGGCAAGCAGTAGTCATTGCTTTGTTGGTAAAAGTTGGCGTTATTTCTGAGAAGCACACATGGGAGTGGCAAACTGTAGAAGAGGTGGCCACAGGACTCCAGGTAAGTAGCGCGCTGTCTGAACTCAACAGAACTTTCATTTTTAAGTGTTTTTTTTTACAAATCTCCACTAAACTACTAGCGTGCAGGCTATGGTGCTAGAACTACTGCACTCACCCTGCGGGTGAGGGAACAGGAATCCTAGACAAACTGGCCAGAAGTACTGCTTTGTAGCAGAAGCAGAGACAAAACCCGGACTTTGGTCTTCAGGGTCCATCTCTCTTTCTGCTTTCTTCCTTTAGTCTCTGAGTGGCAGACTGAGAATAGTGTACTTTGCTAAGAAATACTTGACTTAGGTAATATAAACATTCAAATTATTTCAAAAGGTAAAAAAATAATTTGGGAAAAAAGAAAAATATGAAAAGACACAGCTACTGAAACAAATACTTTTTCGAAGTACTTGGAGAAAGAGCAATTTAGCAAAGTAGATTTAAGCCCAAAGATGGCTGCTATTTTTGTTGTTGTAGGACTTTATTATCTGTATTGAGATGTTCCTGGCCGCAATTGCTCATCACTACACATTTTCATACAAACCATATGTCCAAGAAGCAGAAGAGGGCTCGTGCTTTGATTCCTTTCTTGCCATGTGGGACGTTTCAGACATCGCAGACGATATTTCAGAACAAGTAAGGAACGTTGGTGAGTACCAGCCATTTAATTCTTCCAAATAATTTGGTTATTTTATTTCTCCCACTGGGGCCATTTATTCATTATATAAGATGAATAAATGAAATGGCAATGAAAAGGCTGTTCAGAGCAATACTATGGTACAGGCTTTTCAGATTTAGGGGAAAATGGTCAAGTGTGGGGAGCTTATATTTAAAATGGTTAGTTTATTGTGTTAAAAAATAGCCGGCATAATGTGGAAACCTTTTTATTACTTTAAAGGACGGACAGTCAGGGGACATGCTAGGAAGAAATTTTTTCCAGAGGATCAAGATCAAAATGAACATACAAGCTTACTCTCATCATCATCTCAAGATGCAATTTCTGTTGCCTCTTCTATGCCACCTTCCCCCATGGGTCACTACCAAGGATTTGGACACACAGTGACTCCTCAGACTATACATACTACAGCTAATATACCTGATGGAATACTCAATGACACTACAGAAGCGAAGAAAGAGCTTTCAGATAAATCTGTTATCTCCTGAACAATGTGCAGAAGCAAACTGTGCTATATCCATGTTACTTCACCACCTGGAATCCCATGGATCAGGATATTGGGCTTAGGACAAGCCATAATGATGGAAAATTTCAAGACAAAGACAGGTAAAAAGCCAGGTACAACTACTGGATTTTGTATATCATAAGTAATCAGTCCAAATTTCCTAGACTTAGGCTTGATTCCATAACATTAGAGTGTGTTGCATACTGAGATGGTAGAAAATGAATCCAACAAAATGCTTCTGATAATACATTTCTTTATCAAGAGGATGGACATAAAAAATGCTTCTTACCACTGCTGCATGATTATAATGCTCTGGACAGAAAGCATAATTCAGATATATGAGCTAGTGGAACTTAATTATGTGCCATATGAGCTTACCTAACACTCCTCTGTTTCTTAACTGGATACTAGATGTCTTTCAATAAATAAGAATTTATCATTTATTTTCTGCAACTCTTTATATTGATCATTTAAACATAAAACAAGGCTCTAACAAAAATTTTTTTCAATACTGTTAGAAGTGGCAGGAAATATAAATAATCTTGGCTGAACTGTCTTAATTATTCATTAAAATAGTAACCAGAAGCATAATTATTATTTCAGAGAAACTTACTTGAGAGGGGATTGTACTAAACTGGTAATCACAACCCTTAGGGTCATGTTTCACATTTTATAAAAAGACAGAAAGTGACACAGTATGTTGCAGATAGCAAGGATGAGTTGTTTCTCAAAACTTTTGCTTTACGTATTTGTGCAAACCCACATTCATTTTATATATATGTATAATATTCACAGTAATTAAGGTACAGACTTTATTCTGTCCACCATTATAAATTAAACAGTTCTACAGGAAGGAAAGCTGGGTAATACATATTTTTAAAAACCCAGAGATTCCACAGAAAAGTGTTACAACTAATAAATGAACTCGGTAAAGTTGCAAGATACAAAAATCAGTAGCATTTTCATATACAAATTACAACCTAACTGAAAAAAAAATCAAGAAAATAATTCCATACGATAGCATCAAAAAATACTTAGGAGTAAATTTAATTGAGGTGATAGTTAAAACTATTACAGAAAAACTATAAAACGTTAATGAACACTGAAAAACTAAAACTGATGGAGTTGAAGACACACATTTAAAAAAAGACGAACAAATGGAAGGATACCCTGTGCTCATGAATTGGAAGAGTAACTGAAAACATCCACATGACTCAAAGCTACACACAAATTCAGTGCAATCCCTATCAAAATCCCAATTGGTATTCTCCATACAAAAAAAAATACTACAATTCCCCTTATCAAAATAATTCCAACAAAATAACTGGAGGCATCACATCTCCTTATCCAAAATTGTAAGTCAAGTGTGTGGTCCAAAAGTTTGTAGACCCAGCTCACTTAGAAGACTGAAGTGGGAAGATCAGTTGAGCCCAGGCATTCAAGACCAACCTGGGCTACACAGGAAGACATTACCTCAAAAACTGAAATTATATAGCAAAGCTGTTGTAATCAAAACACTGTGGTATGGCATAAAAACACACATGGACCAGTGATGGGAGCCCAGAAATAAAACCAAACATATATAGTCAAATAATGTTTGACACAGGCACCAAGGAGATACAAGGAGAGAGAAGTCTTTTCAAAAAATTATGCTGGGAGACCACTGTGTTCTCCGTTGCGTGGTGGCTCACCCTCAACCCTATAGAATGTACTCCTTTTTCTACTTTTACTTGGCTCAAACTCACTCTGCAGAGCTTGAATCTTCCTACCATTAATGAAACAGCTACTGTTAAAAAAAAGTTATGCTGGGAACACCAGATTTCCACATGCGAAAAGCATGAAATTGGACCTTTGTACACCAGAAACTCTTCTCAGTATAGAACCCTAAAAGAAAAAGCAGAAACTAAAACTACAGAACTCGCAGAAGAAAACAGAGATGGAAAGTTCCTGGACACTGGCCTTAGCAATGGTTTTCTAAGATATTATATAAAAGCTTGGGCCATGAAAACAAATGGGACTAGAGTAAACCTTCTGTTCATCCATTCCACATAAAGATTCAACCAATCCTAGGTCAAAAATATTGGGGGGAAAAAAATGGCATCTTGTACTGAACATATACCATCATTCCCTAAGCAACAGAGTATAATTATTTACACAATTTATACTATGTAGATGTTGTAACTAAAGATAACTTGAATTATACAAATAGTAATCCACAGGTTTTCATTTGCAAGGGAAGGTCTGGAACCAATCCCTTGATGACACACTGAGGGAAACTATACCTCAAACTAAAATGGTATACACAACAAATTACAAACTGGGAGAAAATATTTGCAAACAATATTATAAGGAGTTAATATATAAAGTTTATAAAAATTCATATACCTCAATAATAGAAAAACAACTTTGTTAAATATGGCAAAAGGCATAAGATGGCCAACAAGTATATGAAAACATGTTCAATATCATTAATCATCAAGAAAATACAAATCAAAACCATTACGAGATACTACCTCCCTCACCTGCTAGGATGGCTATTATAAAAGGCTGAAAGACAGATGGCTATTATAAAAGTGCTACAAAAGGTGTGGAGAAAAGGAAACTCTTATACACTGCTGATGGAACTGGTAGTCATTATGGAAAGTATGAAACTTTCTAAAAATAAAAATGGGCCTACACTCAAAGGAGATGAAATCACCACCCGTAAAGGGACCTGCACTTCATATACATGCATCACTGTTTAAAACAGAGACGGGATGGAAAAACTTAAGCATCTATTCATGGATGAATATATTAAGAAACTATAGTGTATATGTACAATAAATATTATTCATTCTTTAAAAGAGAATGCAGTCTTATCATTGGAAAATTGAAATACACAAAGATAGAAAACAAAACAATGGCTGAGAAAGATTACTGGCAGTGGGTAAGAAATAGAAAGTTATAGGTCAGAAAATACAAAGCAGATGTGTAAGATAAGTCTGGAGATCTAATGTACAAGATAAAGATGTTATAGCTTATATTTAGATGTTCCCACAAAGGCTTGTGCAGTCATACATGGGGCTTTCAGAGGTGGCTGATGCTTGGATCAAGGACGTGATGCTAGGACAGGTGTGAGTGCTACCTGCCTGAATGGTGGGCAGCCTCAATACATAAGGGACAGAAAGAGGGTCTTTGCTTTCGTTGCTGCCTTCTGCCTGCCATGAACTGTTTCCTCTGCAGTATCCCTCTGCCATGCCACCCTGCCTTGGAGCCAGCAAACTATGTACTGAAATCTCTACAAACTGAGCTAAATAAACTTTTCTCTCAACTTTCGGTGTCAGGTATTTTATCTCAGCAGTGAGAAAAGTAACTAAGACAAAGGATAACAGGTAATAAAATTGTACTGTGTGTCAGAGTTATGGTAAATGTTATTTTAGCTGTTACCACAAAAATTTTAAAAATGCATAAATGTAATATGATGGATGTTAACATCACTCTTACAACCTTTTTATCTGTATGTACACCATAACACGTTATGTATCTTAAGTATAAACTAAAATTTATTTAAAAGAAGCTGGGTAATGCAGGAATAGAGAGAATGAGAACAAACAGAACAAAGAAACATCTCTGTGGCTTATAAAACATTTACAGAATATAAAAGGTATGACAGTTTTATTTCCCTATTTTGAAAGTCTATTGAAGTGGGATTTCTTTTCTTTCCTTCTTTCTTATTTTGCATCCAAGTCAAACATACTGGTTTGAATTAGTCTTTTAATTTTATTAGCCTTTTAATTTTTCTGTACTGAAACAGATCAGAAAAAAAATGCCTCCTAATGATGTATTTCTTCCCAACTCTTAGTCTTTAAGTACATTCTGAGTACTTAAAAGAAGTAGGGTTGGGATTTACAGGTAAGCATAATCCCAAGTCTTTTGTGGAGGCCTTCTGTTAAATGTCTCCCAATTGTAAGTCAAGATGCCTAAAAAATTATAACATTGCTTTACTTACTGATTTAAAATCTCTATAAAGAAACGTGGTTTACTAATTTGAAAAACTAATGATGTATCCTTTTCCAGAAAACAAGTTTGCAGCAATAATATAAAAATAACGCTATTTAATTTAGAATCTTTTGCATGTGCTTTCTTAATGTCACTTTTGAAAAATATCCGATCATTACAAAGAATTAGATTTTATACATTTGATGACTATAAGCCCAGCAATTCAAACAGGAATTTTGTACTTGATGGTCTAAATGATGTTTTCAGTAGAAAGCTGCTCCTCATTGTTTGACAGTGATGCTGACATTGCTCTTGTGATGCTGGACACTAAGAACGAGTTCCTCTCCCACTTCAACCTGGATGGGATTCTCTAGAACAACTGCCGCTTGTTTCCAGTGGGAGGCTTCACTTGATGTATCCAACCAAATCTCGTCATCAAGGTACATATGATACCAGAAGGGAATAGCAGTCACTTGTCCAGCTTTACAAATGTGTACCTATGGAAATTAAGAAATTACAAAGATTTCTTCAGGGTAAATAGAATAGACTTGGAGTATATCTTCTTTTTCTGTTTAGTCAATTTTAAGTAAAAATTTTAAAAATACATTTAGTTACCTGATTGAAATATTAATCTACTTTATTCTCTAATATTTATTCAAATCCATTCTTACATATTTTTCAAAAAAAAATTTTAAACCTTCAAAGGAAGTCTTTAAAGGTATATACAGTAATACCAAGTTTAAGATAATTGTTGTGAATAAGCACAATCATTTTGCATGTTGTCTGTACCTTTACTTCTCTGTTGGATGTGTGCAGATACGGAGTCATTAAATCTAGTCTTAAGAGTTCCACTGGCTTGCTTAAAGGTACACAGGGCAACGAGGACAGGTCCAAAAATACACGTATAGGCACCTAGAAAAAGTGTAAAATTTCCCACTTTTACACATTCTGTTTGTAGTCAGCGATCACTGTATTTCTTTCTGATTTGTACCTGCCTCAGCCTCATTTACATTCCCACGTCAGCCTAAAGCACAGGGCCTTCCTTGTTTGTTTTGCAGGAAGAATAACAAACCAAGCTCTAAGCAGGTCAGGTACTCTGTTATGGTTTCCATGGTACATCTTACACTTGGATGACAGCAGAATAAATTTTTACTGAAGCCAAATGGCTCCAAAAAATTTTAAACATAGGATTTGGTTATGAACTAAGAAACAATATTGTTTCACAAAGGTGTCAAATTCAACAAAATATATTTCATCTGAAAAAGTTTATTTCTGTAAGGCAGGGATTCTCCGCCTTGGCAACATTTATAGTGGCCAACCAGGAAAGAGTATAGAGCTCCTCTTGCTGAGTAAGTGGTCAAGAATGGAAGTGAGACCACGGTAGTGGTGACCAACTACGCGGCGCTGACATAGAGAACACAAAGTGATGATTTGACCAAGATACGGCCTTCCAAGGGTGAAGAGAAATTTACACTTAAAATGTATGAAGAGCTATGTAAAGATATAAACACTTAAGGAAGATATGAAATGGGACTGAATCAAGATATAGAGCATAGGAGAATTAAAGAAGGGCTGATGCCAGGATCAAGAGAAACTATGACAAAGATGGGCAATATTTTGGGGCCATACAAATAATTTAAAATTCTCTGTCTTCTTGTAAGTGTATTCTCCTTACTAAGCCCCCAGAAACACTAAGATTAACTCTTAATTCTTTAAAAAGTAGTTCCACAGATGATGTGTACTTCAGTAGGTACCCTTCAAGAAAGATCTAACATGCATATTCAAGACCTTACTACTTATAGGCTTTAGATAAAAGTTTTAGATATCAGTTCTTTACCTCTGTACTCAATAGCACACCTACCAAATTCTGCTTTAGCCTATACGGTAATATCCCACCTGCTTCCCATCTCCATCCCCAAACCTGTTCCCTAGGCTCCCCACCACTTCAATTTTAAACTCACAGATTTGTACAGAAGCGAAGTACAGATGAGTTTCGCCTTGTTTATAAATCCAAGCTCCTTGTTTCCCAAACTGAAACTAACCTCTTTGCCCAAAGTTCCGTTTTCCTAGGCATTTATGTTGCTGCTTGCTGCAGTTGGATGGACTGAACCAGTGGTGGCGAACCTATGACACACTTGCCACAGTGGGCTGTTTGTATCACTGAAGGCTCTAAAAGGTTCACCATCACTGCTAGACCCTGGACTTTGGCTGTCACATCTACCAGGTGCCAACCTGAGGTCTCAAGGTAAAGTTCCACTTAGAACACAAATCTGGGTGCTTCTTTTTCAAACAAGGAGAAACCCTTTTCACAAAACAAAAACCTAGTGCCCTACTTTGCATTTGTAACAGTGACTGGGGAATCCACAAACTGACTCCAACCCTTGGGGTGATTTTCACCCATACACATTGTGATTAAAACTAAACAGAGAAAAGGTAGAGAAGAGCATCCAGACAGAACTTCTCTTTTCCGACACTTACCTGAAACTGGTTGATAAAAGGTGCTATGTTCAACCCAAGAGTACGTTCTGTTCCTTGAACAGCATTCTCTTCCACCAGCATCTGTGATTCCACAAGCATCCCAAACATCAGCACATACTGAGGAAAGATCTTCCCTCCAGGTTGTAGTAAACACCTAAACAAGGATAAATATTTTTTGCCAGGCAGGGTGGCACAGACCTATAATCCCTACACTCTGGGAGGCTGAGGCAGGAGGATCATGAATAAAGTTAAATCCAGCAAGAACCTGTCTCAAAAAAAAGGCTGGGGACGTAGCTCATTCAACCCCCAGAACACACTCCCAACAAAAGAGATTACATATTTTTTAAAGCTACTTGATTTCCTGCAACTTACAACTATCAATAACTAAGAATCATGAATTAAAGGGCAGTCTAATGGGATGTGTATTGTTCTTGGTTGGTAAGTTCACAATGTAGACCACTGAAAATAATTTTTCAACAACTCAAAAAGTGACTGCTGATCTGTGAAAGAGAAAAATAATCAGTTAGCTGGATGGGAATATATCTCTCAATGCAGCCAAGAGCCATTAACGAATACAAAAACTACAACCATCCCTACCCAGAAATCCAAAATCTGAAATGCTCCAGATGAGGGTCAATAGAATGCCATGTTTAGAAAATTCTACACCTGACCTCATGTACACGTTCTACGCAAAATGCAAGTACACTGAAAATACTGTATACGGTTACCTTATTGTGTACATAAGGTGTATATAAAATATGAATGAATTTCATGTGTAGAGATTGGTACTATCACCAAGGTCTCTCATATAAGTGTGAATATTCCAAACTTTTAAAAAACATCTAAATACTTCTGGTCCCAAGCATTTCAGGTAAGGATCCTCAACCTACCGCAGGTGGAAGTATGATTTTAGGAAAAAGGTATTTACATAGTCTCAAAATAGATTACCCCCATAAATGACAATAAAAAATAAAGGAGAAAATAGCAATTTATTGTGAAAACTCCAGTGAAGTGTGGAAAATTTAAACCAAGAGATCTAACTAACATTAATAATAATGGGATAAAGCAACACTTCGTGACTCCAAATGGTGATGAAACTTCTATGGTATTCATTCTTCTCTAAAATGGCTAATGTGGACCTCATAAGAAAATGTGAAGAACATTCTATACCATAAAAGCCCTATACTCTTCAAAACTGTTTATGTCATGAAAAACTGAAGCATTGTCAGAATAAAAGAAACGGAGACATGAAAACTAAATGCACTATATGATCTGGTTTGAGTCTGGACCGGTTACAAAAAAGCTATGGAAGACACTGTGACAAACGGAAATATTACATCCATGTCCATTTTCTGATTGTGATAACGGCTCAGTGATTATATAAATGAATGTCTTGTTCTTAGGAAATACAAAGTATCAAGGGTAAAAGGACAGGATATCTAGAACTTTTTCAAAATCCTTCAAGGGAAGAATCAAAGCAAATGTAGCAAAACATTTTCTCCTTCATCTTCCTGGAAATCCCACCAAGAGATTTCCAGGAAATCCCATTTCCATTTCCATTTGTACATTAATCAGCAATACCACCTACGGAAAGCTAAAAACCTTTTCCCACACAGACTGCATCTACATGAGAAAATGAACAGGAAGTGCCTGGTGACAAGATACACCACCTGAGAGAATCCTGGAGTGCGTGGAAACTTGTAACCAATGCTTTTTGCTGAGACCTGGAGGCTGTGCCATGACAGAATCCATTCCTTCAGGAAGCTAAGTTAGCTCCCCTGTCTACCATGTAGCCTGTTTCTCACTCCTGCCATGTGGGAGTTGAGGAAGAGTTGGGTGAACCTCCTATGCCATCCAATGAAGCATAAATGGAAGGCACACTAAGGTGCTTTAAACCAAATTAACTTTTTGTTGGCCATGTTTACAGTCAAACATCAAATCTCTTCTCTTTACAAATATTCCAGGCTGGTTCCTACTTGAACCTTGAACTTGAACCTTGAATTTCCAGAACAGTATACTACGCACAGGTGGGCTTTCTCTCTTTTATACTAACGTTTTATGCCTAAGTCAAATATTTATGTATGGATCTATTTGTAACAGTACAGGACTAAGTTAGGCATGGTGCATGTCTGTGATCCCAGCACTCTGGAAGCCAAAGCCAGAAAGATCACAAGTTGAGGCCCAGCCTGCACAATACCATGACTTAGTGAGAACTTGTCTTAAATTTTTAGAAAAGGGAAAGGGTGGAGGTGGCGTGCAGCTCAGTGCAAAGGTCTTGCACCAAAGGATGGAACATCTCAACAATCTACATAGCTAAAAAATAATCTGTACAAATTTTGAAAATTCTGTGCTATGTGATTTCCCTAAATAGATAATTAAAAACTCGACAAACTAGAGTAACATTTCTCAAAACTACTTTGACACTTCTGCTCTTGAATTTACTTATTAACTCTCCGTGCTTTTACTAAACCAATTACTATGTCTCAATTTCTTAACCCCTTAAAAATATTTAAATAATGATGACTAAATTATAATGACAACACATGGCAACAAAATGCAAAACGCTTCCTTAGAACTAAGTGGGAGAAAAGCCATAATCCCAGCACTCGGGAGGCTGAGGCAGGAGGATCGTTGCAAGTTTGAGACCAGCCTGGGCTACAAAGTGAGCTTGAGGCCAGCCTGAACTGTATAGTAAGACCTTGTCTCAAAAAGATAGATAAATAAATAAATAAATATCCAAGCAGTTATTAAAGTGTAACTTAGTAATCTAAAATACTAGTTAAATTCTAAATTTTTATGCATTTTTAAACATGTATTTGGGTCAGTTAGAAAATGGTAAATGGAATTCATACATATAGAATGAAAACTTTTATATCCTAACTGTAATAAAAGTGGTGTATGTGTATATGGTGATGGTGAAATCAAATATGAATTATTAAACACTTTAAAGTTCATGGTACATTAAGCAGGAGAGGGCAATGAAGAAGCTTAGTGTTGCCTCCAAGTTCTAGCCCTGGTGTGAAAAGAGAAGAGAGAAAAGAGGTGAGAGGAGAGAAGAGAGGGAAAAGACAAAGGGTAAAGAACTGCTCCAGATTAATTACCTAAAGGAATCAGATGCCTACATGCAACATGATCCTGCCTTTGAGTCTAGACTGGGTGAAAAAAAGATTTGTAAAGTATAGCAGATCAACTGAGAAAATCTAAATATGCATTGTGAAATAAATAGTATCATATGGGGCTGGGGATTTAGCTCAGCGGCAAAAGCGCCTGCCTGGCAAGCGCAAGGTTGTGAGTTCGGTTCCTGGTACCGGAGAAAAACCAAAAAAAAATAAATAAATAAATAGTATCATATCAAGGTTAACTCCCTGATTCTAATCATTTGCTATAGTCCTGTAAGCAAATTTTTTGTTCTTAAAAAATACTCAGTTATTTAGTAGTAAAAGGGTATGATGCCTATAACCTATTCTCAAAAAGAAAAGCAATAAAAAATAAACAACTAGAAAATCTGCATAAAAGTATGAAAACTCTTGCAGTCTTTAAGCTTAAAATTAAGTCAGCTGAGCATGAGGGCATGTGTATAATCCCAGCATTCTGGAGGCTGAAGCAGAAGGATTCAAGCCCAGCCTTGGCAACTTGGCAACTTATAAAGACCCTGTCTCAAAATAAAAATAAGAAAGGACTGGGGGTGTAGCTCAGTGCAAAGGCCCTGGCTTTAAACCTCTCTCTCTCACTCTTACACACACACACACACACACACACACACACACACAGTCTCTGCCAAAAAATGTATACATACTTCAGCCGTTCTCCATACTAATGTCCGATTTCAATACTAAATATTAGGGGCAAGTTTACATCAAGCTGCTTAAACCAAAGGAAAAATAGCTTTAAGGAGAAAAGATTTTAAGATCCAAGAAGACTAAGATTTATTCCTAAGAAGCATTCTGATATAATATGCCATCAAATGTGAGCTATGTTTCTTACATCATAAAGATGTCTTGTTACTTTTCTCTCACTGCTGAGACAAATACCTGATGCCCAAAATTAAGGAAGGAAAGATTTATTTAGCTCACAGTTTGTCCATAATTGGCTGGCTCCAAGGCAGAGTGGTATGACAGAGGGGCAACAGTTCATGGCAGCAGATGACAGCAAAAGCAACAAGAGCAAAAAGGGAAAAGTACAAGAGAAGACTCTTTCTGTCCCTCATATTGTATGTAAGCCACCAACCTTTAGCGTAGGTGTATAGCACTCACACCCATAATCCCAGCACTAGACAATGAATCAGTCACAAACTCTAGCTTCAGATGCCTCCAAAAAGCTCCCTCCACAACTATATGAGGTTCTGGGGGGACATCTGGAGACAAACCATAACAGATGAAGTTTGATTTTTTTTTCCTTTCTTATCCAGAAATGTCATCCTATCTGTTTTTATACATCTAAACCTAATTCCCTATATTCTACACAAGATATCCAAATCCAAAGGCAGGCTAACCTCTTCACACCTACAGTGCAGGGATTACTTTATGGACAAAATATTCAGTAATAACATACACACAAAAGAAAGGTGTGAAGTCACAATTCCTGAAAAGCAATGCTCAAGGAATATACAATGATCTTGATTGATTTTTATGGTTGTATCACTAAAGAGCTAAAAGAATTTCACATTAGAACTCCAAAATCCAAAATTTCTATTTTTTTTTACCTGGATATTGCAGCTTTTTCCATTATTTCCTGCTGAATGAGCCCAGATGGCTCAATGACATCCAATATAATTATGCTCCACAATTTGTCTGACTTAGGCCTTTGCAAGACAGCAGATTCATCCTCCACATGTCTCAGCCAAAACTCAAGTGTTTCTTTAGGAAAGTGACTGGCTTCCGAGATGAGGTCTAGAGCAATCCGATGTTGGTCTTTCTCCACAGAACTGTAAGACTTCACCTGCCCAAGTGTCCCCGCAATTATAGGCAGAATAGAGAAGCCTTCAGACACATCCAGCACATAGAAAGGTTCAGGGGTTCTCGCGGTAGTAGTATTCTGTCCAGTTTCAGAGCTCATCTCATCCATGACCTGACACAATTTCTCTGGGGTCAATGAAGACAACACTTTTCTCATTGCCATTTTAAAGCCTTCATGATATGGTATGTTGTTAAGTAAAGCAATTTCTGTGGGTTCCAACACACATGTCTGCTCTGCACCTTCTGATTTACTGGTCTGAAGGTTCGCCAGAGCGCTACAGAGTTCAGCCTCATTTCCTAAAGACAGTAAGTCTTTATCCTTGGTACAACTTTTTGAAACTTCCATTTTATGTTCCAAATCCAAAACACTGATACTCTGGATTCTGAGGTAACAGTCTTGACAAGATACTTCCATTGTAACATGGGCCCCAGGCTTTACCCTATAATCTTCATTAGTAAGAAAGGAAAAAGCAACTGATTAATATAGAGTGTAATATGCCTGAGGATCACACAGAAATCTCCATCCCACCTAATTCCCTAATCTTTAAATCGCTACAAGAAAGATTACGTGTTACTTTAATACACACACACACCCCTTTACTCAGAAAAAATGGAAAGTTAAAGATTCCCTTAACTTTTAGCACAATGAAAATATTCAACAGCTCTACTACTGAATCCTAAGACTAACAGTATTTCTTTTTCTTTTTCTTCTGTTTTTTATTGCAATCAGTAAGTATCATCAAATGTCCAATGTCACCAAATCAGGAGGGGAGAGTTGAGGGGCCTGGAATAGAGTTACTGCAGGGGATTCTGTATTATCCTTTGTATTTAAGCTAACAAAAACAAAGATAGATAAAATTCAGAGATCAGTAACACACTCCACTTTACCTTACAGAAGCATTCTTAAAGAGAAATTCTGAAGAGAACAGGACTAAAGAGAACAGCATTCAACAGAATGCTGTCATTAACATTTCTTAACCATTATGTTACTCACACGTTTATGAATTTCAAAATTTAAGGATGGACTAAGATTTAAAATAAAGACTATACCATGCTCCTTTCTAGGAGCTTTCACATGTGGTAAGACTTTAATGTATAAATGTATAATTGCAAATACTTCTCACCTGTTCTAGAACCATTTAAAAATACAAGCTTTAAAATACCCTTTCTCTCAGGATTAAAAAAAAAAAGGACATTTAAGTGGCTATAAGAGAGTTAGTATAAATACAGATTTTAAAATGTCACTGAGGGGCTGGGGATTTAGCTCAGCGGCAAAAGCGCCTGCCTGGCAAGCGCAAGGTCGTGAGTTCGGTTCCCGGTACCGGAGAAAAACCAAAAAAAAAATAAAAAATAAAAATAAAAAAAAATAAAAAATAAAATAAAATTAAAATTAAAAAATAAAATGTCACTGAATACTAATCACTAAAGGTAGGCATTTTATACCTATCATTTGTACTGCAGTCCTGTTTTACATATGATATACAAAAGCTCTAGGAAATGACCAGCAAGGCTGGCCAGCAGGGAGTCACTAAGTGGCAGATTTAATGACCCTGCCAGAGACTCAACAAAAATGTCTTACCTTCCAGTTTGAAAAGGTTTTTTCTAGATAACTAAACAGCTGTGAATTTACTGAATCTTAGGGCTAGGGATTTAGCTCAGTGGCAAAGCACCTGCCTGGCAAGTGCAAGGTCATGAGTTCGGTTCCTGGTACTAGAGAAAAACCAAAAAAAAAAAAAATTTACTGAATCTTACCAAATAGCTATTTTAAAAATTTCCATACAAAAATATCTTTAATATAGAACTCCCCTGAAATCACAGTTTTGTACTTATTTTAGTGTGTACATTTTTATTACCTGGGGTGACACAGATGTCACCAGATTCTCCAAGGGTTAAGAACATCCCTTTTCCGCTGCTTTCCATTTAAAAATGGACCGGCATTTCTTTCATCTATTCATAACTAGAAAAAGTTAAGGGTATCTTTAAATTTCAGTTTTTCCCATTTAACGATTCAAAGATAAATATTTCTGAAGGGTATGCAACAGAGTTGTGTTTTAAAAGGATGTGTGTTGTGTTTCTAAAGAATGCTTTTGAAAAAGAAAAATAAAATTTTGAAAGACTGAACCAACCTATCTTGACTGAAAACTTCATACCCAAAGTAATGTTATTTTGAGCCTGATTCAAATGCTTAGCGGATTAAAGCAACAAGTTTGAAAGAAAAATACAAAATCAGACAAGATGTACCTGTAAGTTCTTGCACAGGGTACACAGCCTGCTCCCAACACGTTTCCTCACTAGGACTTGTGGACAAACTGTGTTCATCATCAAGCTGGAGCACAAACCAAACTACAATAGCATCGAGTGTGCCTTCTTTCGTGACAGGAACACCAAGCTTATCGGGTTTTTTGGTTGCAAGACTTTTTAATTCCTGAGAAAAAATATAAAAGGAATAAGAGGATTTTATAAATTATATATTCACATGCCTTCGTATCATACCACTGTCCTTTTCTGAAGTGCTCGGTTCTGTGCAGCACCCACAGGGAATCAACACGTTGGCATACCCACAACCACCTACGGCACTGGATGGGAAGCTCTGACCTGGTGAACTGGGACAGCACACGCTTGGTTAACAGAGTGAGGCCAATACAAACTACTGACACAGCAAGAAGTCCACGATATATTGCTGGAGACAAAGGCAACTGGCAGGGTAATAGGATGATTTTTTTTTTTTTTCAATATGTATTTGCAGAACAGAAAAGCAAGTCTGAAAAAAAAAAGCCCTTCGAACTGGTGACCTGGAGAAAGAAGCACAAATGGAATCTTTTCATTTCTAGTCTTCCATATTACTTGAAAGTATAAAAAAGCAGACATTATTTTTAAAATTAAAATCTTAATAAGATGGGGGCAATAATAAATTAACATAACAATGCTTGAAATAATAAAAGGACAGATTTGGAGTAATTAGCAGCTGCTTTCCTACTGGAATGTTATGCCAGGTAAGGGAAGGTCTTCAAGCTCAGGGCAATTAGTAAGCAATGCCAGATTACTAAGTTAGTTGCAGACCCTCTCAAGAATAACCTTGTATTAACTAGCAGGAGAAAATGTCTTTAATTTTAGAAACTTTAGCTAAAAAGACCTTCAAAGTTTTCTGCTCCCAGGCAGGTTCATCTAAAACAAGTGTATTTTAACATCTAACCTTTTGTTTGTTTGTTTTTGTCTTTTTGAGACAGGGTCTTGCTATGCAGTTCAGGCTGGCCTTGAGCTCACTTTGTAGCCCAGGCAGGTCTCGAACTCACAACGATCCTCCTGCCTCAACCTCCCAAGTGCTGGGATTACAGGCATGTGCCACCATGCCCGGCTAACCCTTAAAGACCTTCAGAAAAGGAATCTATGTAACTTTCTCCATTTCTTTGAGCACTTTCTTGATACAGCATTGTTTTCTACCACCTATCAATATACACATTACAAATGTGTATATTGATCAACCTACCCTGCTTTTCTCGTGACTTTTCTAGTTTTAAAACTAAGTCTTTTCTCAAGGACCCCTCAGTCCTGGGCAAATTGGGATGGCTGGTCACCTAAAACAAATACAACCCTGAGATTTGAATGACTGTTCATTTCAACAAAATACTGTCAATTTGAAAAGGCACCATGACATAGGGAAAAAAATGGCAGACTGGTTAGAATGCTTGCCTCTGCATTTACATGCTGAAAAATTTGGCCAAAATTATTTAATGTGAGCCATACTTTCTTCACCTTAAGATATACATAAAAGGCACAGTATCCATTCCCAACAAATCTTAGGGAGTTTTTATTTCTACTTAAATAAGTGAATACTTTTCAGAAGGAATTCTAATTCCCTTTAACAATTTTTTTACATATTCTTAAGTAGAAACTCACCCAAACTTGTAAGACCATCCTATGGATTATTTTAAGGAATTCATGAGATGTAAAGCTTGAAAATAGTAATCAAACTTTTTGTTTTTACCTGAAGATTGTTGAAGTCTACCTTCATAATTTCAAAGCATTCTGTCAGAGCCAAATATCCTCCAGGAACTCGACTCATCTTTTCAGTTGTATAAGGTTCTACCGTTTCTTCAGTATCTATTGAAGAATAGGCAGGACTCTGAAATTTCATATTTGTTGGCAAATGAATACCAGCAATGTCCTTACTACCCACTCTGGTGAGAGGCAAAAGAAGAAAAGTTTTCTAAGAATCAAGTAACACCATCTAATATTGAGTGCAGAGGAACATAAACATAAAAATGAAATAAGATCTCACCAGCAAAGGCTTCTTAAATTACACACACATACACACTCACTAACAATAAAGGAAAATAATGGGCCTGCATTAAAATTAAGAACCGCTCACATAAGGACACTGTACAAGTGAAAATACAAGTCACTGAAAGAATATTTGTAGAACACATATTTAACAAAAGGCTCATATCCAAGTACATTATTTTTTAATTTCTACAAACTAATAAAACACAAATAAAAATGAGCAAAAGATAAGCACATCAGAAGACAGCCAGTGAGCATGTGAAAAGTTGCTTGGCTTCAGTAATCATCTGGGTAATGAAATAAAACTCACAATGCATAATGCACAACCCACAGGAGCAGAAAAATAAAACAGTCAACAGTCAACATCATGTGTTGGTAAGAACAGTCTCATACTAGCAGTAAGAGCCCTTTGGGAGACTGTCTAGGGTACCTACTCAAGGTGAGCACGCCGATACCAGATTCACTCTACATATAGAAGCCTCACAGTGCTTGGCATTTCCACCTCTGGGAAAACAGCCAGCAGAAATTCATACATATTATCGATAAAAGAATATGTAAGATGTTTGTAGCTCTATTGCTTCACATAGCTAACTGACATAACCTAAATATCCACCAACCAGACAAATGTAAAATGGACAAATGTATTATGGTATACTCATACAATGGGCTATTATTATTCAGCAATGAGAATGAATAAACTATATATAACAAAATATACAGTTGGACAAAAGAACCCAGGCGTATGGATGCATGCCCACTAAAATCAAACTATATGATTCATGCCCACTAAAATCAAACTATATGATTCACAAAAGGGGCAACACTAACATACCACATTGGACATCAGGATAGTGGCCAGTCTTGGGGGAGTAGGACACTAGTTACAGGAAGGGATTTCTTTCTGGGGTGGTCTTTTCCTACAGTGGTGGTGGTGGTAATGTTCTGGTCTTTGACCTGATTCCTCCGTAGACAGGTGTATCAACTTCATGAGAACTCACAGAACCATTAATTTATGGTCTATGCACTTGCTATTAAAATGTCTGCATCAAAAAATTTACATTAAAAAAACACTTTATGACCATTTCGCAATACCACTGTTATGGTTTAGATCAGAAGTACCCCCCAAAGCCTCATGAGTTCAGAGGAGGGACTGTGAGGAAGTGCCTGGATCTAGGGGCACTATACTCACTAGTGCTTCATCTTCTGACAAGTTCAGCAGTTCAGAGTGCCATTAGGAGGAGGGGCCTGGCGGGAGGCAGGTCACTGGGGGCATGACCCAGAAGAGTATAGTTCTTGTCCTTGTGTCCTCCCTCTCCTGTTTTCTGGCCACTGTGACATGAGCTTTCCTCCACAAGGGACCTTTCCACATGCTGTTTCTCTTTGGAGCCCGCTATGGACTAAAACCTCGGAAACTATGAGCCAATATAAACCTCGCCTCTTTGAAGTTGCAGGTGTCAGGTTTCCTTGTCTCAGCAATGAGGAAAGGGAGAGAAACAGCCACTCTGTAATAGAAAAATATTCTAACCTCTCTCATCTCATCTCAGGCAATCTGCTTATTACTAGTCACATTTGTGGGTTATTTAATGGATTCTAACCCTTAAATGTTAGCCCTTATTTATCTTGGTGCTTACATTTTCCTAGCTGTGTCCAGACACTGCAAGCATGCTCCTGTGTCCTTTAAACATATCCCATAGTATTTTATTTTTAAAGTACTTGCTTACTTTCTGATAAGAGATATTCCAGAATCACCTTGAATCGATCCTGTCCGAGTCCTGGAACAAACCACTTCTCTAAGGACCTACAGTTCCCTTTGGTGAGAGATGTCTTTTAGAAACCAGGATCTGGGTGCTGGATACATTCACTGCTGCTGGGACTATGCTGTACCTTTCTCACATGAATACTATACCACTGACTATATATACATATTAACTAATTCTTGCAGACACTTGTGTAATACTGCACTGGGTGACATAGTTATATTTTTTAAAATATTTTCCTGTTAATAAACATTTAGATAACTTCTTAGTTTTGTTCAATTACAGTATTACAGTCAACAACCTTAACCACATACCATCACACACATATATGCATGTTTGTCAGGACAGACCCCAGATGGGGAGTTGCTATGCTGAGGACGATAATAAACATCTCTATTCTTGTTAGAGGATGTCAAAGTGAGCTACTAGAATGTATGAATAGTGTGTAAATTTTCCCCAACAGGATATCAATGATGTTTAATGTTTGCTACTGTAAGCAATTAAAAAGGTTATCAGTAGATGGATTTTAATTTCAATTTCTGACTAATACATAATTATATTCATACTTTGTTGTAAAAGTTGCATCTCACTTTTTCCCTTGTCTTTTAACTTTGTAACACTGTATCTTTCACTAGTCTGATGTTTAATTTAAAAAAAAAAAAAAAGAGGTCAAATATCTTTCATGATTTCTGGAGCCTATACTATGTATTTTGCTTTGAAAAGCATTCATCATTTAATGGATTCTTTCACTTAGATGTTCAATTCATCTAGAATGAAAAGGATCTAACTTTTCTCCGCAAATGATGCATACCATCTCCATTTACTAAACAGTTCACCTTCTCCCCACTGATCTGAAATAACACATCTATATCATATTACACAGACCATATAATTTCAAAGGTCTGTATCTAGATTCTTTATTGTGTTGCACTGATGTGTTTTTCTCTGCATCAATATATTCCTGACTTTACTTCTAACTTTTTATATCTAGTAACTCAAGTTTCATAGTTTTCTCAGTTATTTTTAACTATTTGCTTATTTGGGTGAGCGTTAGATTCAATTCATTAGGATCCAAATGGAAATTTTTAGAATAATAACTTATAAATGTTTCTAGCAGATAAAACGGTATCACTCACACATATCTTTATAGCACATTTCTTCACAGTCCCCAACCCAAACTGTTGAATTTTGAGGGGCAGAAGGAGGACACAGGGCCTCACTCACACAGACAACTCAACCAAATGTACAAAAGCTCCTTTGGTGCTTCTTTTGTACAGTCAGCTACAAAAACACATCAATGATGAAGTTATCCTTTTTCAAAATGATAGATACCAGCCCCAGATTTCTGTTTTGCTTATGCAAACAATTTTAGGAGTTTTCCTATAAAACACAAGGAGGAATCTCAAAGAGATACCACCTCACTTCTGGTGGGTAATGCAACAATGTGTTTAAGTAGCTTTAGAAATGTACCACCCATTAACTCAGCAATCTCTTATCAAAGAACTTATCCTAAGAAAATAATAAAGACAAAAGTCCAAAAATACATGAGAACAAAGATGTTTATCTGGCTCTTCAATGCAGAAATGTGGAAAAACCTAAAATTCTAAACTTACAACATTAGGAAACTGATTTTAAGAAATCATGAACCAAGCCAGGTATGGTGGTGCATGCCTGTAATCCCAGCACTCCAGTGGTAGATTGAGGCAGGAGGATCGCCTCAAATTCAAGGCCAGCCTGGGCTACATAGTGAGTTCAAGAACAGTTTGAACAACATTATGAAACCCCATCTAAAAATCCAAAAAAAGCAAAAAAAAAAAAAAAAAGAGATCATGAACCAATTCTATTCACATGGACAAACTTGCAAGTATATTTACTCATATTGTGAAACAAATTAGCTGGGTGTGGTAGCACACGCCTGTAATCCCACCACTGGGGAGGCTGAGGCAAGAGGAGCACTACAAAGTGAGCTCAAGACCAGCCTGAACTACATAGTGAGACCCTGTCTGAAAAAGACAAAAAAAAAAAAAGAAAAAACACTGAACTTATACAAACATACACTTATTTACACAAAGCTGATATTTAACCAGCAAATTCTCATTTATCCAATTTGCTCTGATCAGCCTACAAACCTAAACACTACTACTCCCTGTGACATGCAATAAAAATATAACTACCTTTATAATAGTAATGAAGCTATCAAGAAAAATAATTATAATGTATTCACACATTGGAAATTGCTACTTAAACTTCACCTAAAGTCAGTCTGAACTTAGTATCTTTGTACATGAACCTACTATATAACTAAATGCTAAGTTGTACCGAAATTAACTTTCCATTAAAAAGTTGGCTTTAACTGTAGAGCTCTACTTTAAAACAAAATTAAAACACATGCAGAAATCTATAAGACTAAACATCTGGAATTTAAAGCTCAGAAAAGTACAAATCCTCATCAATATAAATATGCACTAAGTAATCTTTCAGTCATATAGTATTCTTCCTTAAAATCCCTTTTTTTTAATATTTATTAGTTATATTACCTATGATGTCTTCTTATCTCTGCACACTCTACTGCCATCCCAAATATAACAGCACTTGCTGGTATAACTTTCCCATACTTCTCACAATTACCACTTTCACCTTTGATCTGAAAATATACCAACAAAAATATTATTACAGATATGAAAAAAATGTGTACATAATGACAAGCTATGAAAATTAGAAAAAAGTTTAAAAATAATAATTGAGTAGGTTATGCATCTTTTTACTTAAAAAATACTTTTACTACTATGTATATACATATATATTTATGTTTTTACAAAGGACAGAGGGAAAGAGCTGTAACAAAAGACCGCTGGATATGCCTGCATGTATAAAGTAATCATTGTCTACTCAAAAGAATGTTCTTTTTACCATTTAACTAGTTATTTTAAATATAAATTGTTTTCCATAAGTAGAGAATCTTTATTACACATTAAAATCCTTTCATTGTAATACATATTATATATTATAAATCTAAGATTTGGGGTTACAGCAGAGGACTTCAATGCAAACATCAGGGTTGGTCCTGTCCAATCAGACTGGGCTCAACAAGTCCCTTAAAGTTATACTAAGCCTGTATCACTATACTCCCTTTTGATGACTTGGCAGAATTCCAAGCAATGAGGGCTATGAAACTGAAATTCCTTTCCTTTTACAACCATTCTCAAGAATTCTACATCAGTCCTTCCACAAGGTAGCCTCAATTCCTATGAATTCCTTCCTGAGGTTTTTTGAGACAGATCTTGCTATATAGTTTAGGCTAGCCTTGAACTAAGTAGTCCAGGCTGGCCTCAAACTCTGAGATTCTCCTGCCTCGACCTCCCAAGTGCTGGAATTACAGACATGCACCACCACGCCTAGCTGCTTCTTAAAGAGTATTTTTTGCCATTATACCTCCTTTGGACACACAAGTATACACTGCATTATGTTGCTATTAAATGTTTTTGGCGTGGATTTCTTTCCAACTACAGAATTTGTACCTTGACAGAGAAAAATATTTCACATTGCTTTTCAGACAATCTAGATGTTCAATTAACATTGTTAAAAATCATGGGGGGGGGGGTTTGTGGGTTTTGTTTTTTTTTTTGGTAGTAATGGGAATTGAACCCAGGACCTCGCCCATGTTGGCCAAGCATTCTACCACTGAGCTATATCCCTAACCCATTTTAAAATTTGGAGACAGGGGTTTCATTAAGTTGCCGAGGCTCCTCTCAAACTTTCAATCCTCCTATCTGCATCTCCCAAGAGAAAATGAATTCTTAATCAAACTGAAGTGTTTCTGTGCTGCTTACCTTTGGCTGCAAAAGCAAATGCTCCCATGCATGAATCAAACTCTCCACAATTCCTTCTCCAAATAAACCTGCATCGACAGTTTCTGTTACAACTAGGGACACTCTATAGAATGATTTTTTAAAGACATAAGTGAGTAAAATGTAATGCTATTTATATAAAGATGTTAAAGCTGAGAGAAGAGAGATAAATATGTTATAGAAACAATCCACAGGTAAAATGTTGTAATACATTTCATTTCAATATCTACCCCTGAATCTTAAAGAACTCGAATGCTCCTCAGGCTCCTCTGTACTCCATTGGCTCCTTCTCCTTGGTTTGCAGGCAGGAGGAAACAAACTCACTTGGCAGTGTTGCCTCCTTCAGCTATTCTTTCACTGCCCAAATCCTCAACAGGAGTTCATACCCATTAATGTTCCCAGGCTCCTTCCTTAAGGCCAAGCAGTTGGTCTAAGAATATTCCCTATCACTACAGCTCCATGCTTATCACAATTACCTTTTCCAGTTGTCACTTTTTTTATTTACAAGTAAAATTTAAAGTGGGTGAGAGCCCTCCCTCTCAAATTCAGCTTCTATCTTCTATGATACCGTATTACCCAAGTTTGCTCTTATAGTGAACTGAACCTACTTATCAGTTCCCTTGGATCTTTACAAAAGCCCAGTCCATCCTTCTGCCCGTTCTTATTTCAAGAAAATTCTACCTGCAAACACACCAAAATATTTTCTCCTTTCTCTGAATTACTTTAGCTGTTACTGCCAGTATCATTCATTTTTGTAACCTAAAGATAAAGCCAAGGTTCACCACCATTCTTTATCTTCCAGCCAGGCTGTCAGCTCCGAGAGGAGCGGGAATAACTTTTGTATCCCTCACAGTGCCTAAACCCAGTACTGTTTGAATAGAAAGAAAATACAGTAGTATTTACAGTTGTTCATATTGAGAATGTGGAAGGTATCTCAAACTATCTAATCTAACATCTTAAAGTCTAGTCGTCTGCTAAAAGCCAAAATCGGTAAGAGTTTTAATTAGAATTCATATCTCCTGATTCAAAGTCAGTAGAACTGTCTACAATTTTATCTGTGAAAAAAATAAAAACAGAATTAAAGTAACTTTAGATTCACAGCATGGACTGACTTTTGTCCCCCACAATTCTTATGTTAAAACCTCAACTCCCGAAATGACTATAGTTAAAGACAGAGCCTTTAAGTATTAAGGTTAAATGAGGTCATCACAGTGAGGCCCTAAACCAACACAAAACCGGTGTCCTTCCAAAAGAATGAGACACTGGAGATCATACTGTCATTCACAGAGGAAAAGCCACCTGACAAAACTGCAAGAAGAGGGCCATATGCAAGGAAGAGAACCCCCTCGCCTGAGAAAATAAGTGTGTGTTCTCATTTAAGCCACTGAGTCTATGGTATTTTGTTAGACAACCTGAAAAGAATAAGACAATTCAGGATGGTTTTGTTTTTGTTTTCTAAAACGGGCATACACCTGCTTTAGAAATCTTATATGCTTCTTTCATGAGGACACAGAGAAACAAAAGTCTCTAAAATGATAATGTTGAGGCCACTTGTAATCCTTGCAGTCAGGAGGCTGAGGTAGGAGGGACCACTGCGAGTTTGAGGCCAGCCTCTGTTACACAGTGAGCTCAAAGGCAGCCTGAACCACATGGCAAGACCCTGTCTCAAAAAAAAAAAAAAAATGTTGAGCCAATTTTGGTTTTTCTGTGTGCAGTTCTTTGTTTTGTTTTTGCTAGGGGTTTTTTGGCTGTATCAGGCACTGAATACAGGGCCTTTGCCGTGGGCTACATTCTCAGCTCTTTTCATATTTATTGTGAGATGTGGTCTCACTAAGTTGTCCAGGCAGGGCTCACACTTTTGATCCTCCTGCCTCAGTCTCCCAGAGTGTTGGGATTACAGGAATATACTACCACACCTGGCATGGAACAGATGATTTTTAAATTCCTTCTGGTTCTAAAATTCCATCACCCTTGTAATATGGATCACAAGATAACACATTAAAAAACCAAAACTCAGGAATCATATTCAAAGTATTTGAACAATACAATGTCAAAATATATTGAAAACTGATATTGCCAAAGCTTTCATTTTAAACATGAATATTAACATAAAATACAGTAAGTTCATTGAGTCTGATCTGTTCATGTTTAATTTCTAAGGATAATTTTTAGTTATTCATCATATGAAATTATTCATCTTTTCAAATCAGAACAGTGAAATTAACAAAAATAAGATAACTTGCTAAAATGAAGGTTTTTTTACTAACTTTTTCTGACATATTTTTCTCAAGATCTTTAAATATTTTTCATGGAGCATACAACATTACTTTGAAAATCTGGCTCTTATCTAAACTATTCTATACCTTTATAAAATAGGGGTGTTAGAGCTCTTGTTAGGGGTAGAAACTAGAAGTAGATCCTAATTTTTAAAAATAAAACTGTAAATTATAAACAGTAAAATCACTTCACAGTAGAATACCTTTCAGGAATGTGTGTTGGAATCTGTATGTCAAGTGACTTCATATGTAGGAGTTTTATCCCTGCTTCCATCTTGTTTGCAGCCACTACATCACAGGCAAGTTCATACATTGTTTTGGATAATTCACAGGCATACACTGCTTGTGCTCCAGCTTTTTTAGCAAACATGCTACAAAGGGAAAAAATGCTCTATCACAAATAATAATAGTAACCCAAAAATAGTAACTTTCCAAATTTCAATGGAATTAGGACACTTTAAACCTGAGATTTTTTCATTAACTTAATTCTGCATTCAAAAATGAACTAATATTCTTGAAACAAATCATTCAATAAATCACAACACTGACTCTATTAAGACACTACTGGTGTGAAGATTACTAACAGGCTTTTTAGATTCTACAGGAATGTTAATACAAAAAATATTCTTAAAATATGTTCCTTAAAATTTCAGTAATCCCAAACTTTTCTTAGCAGTCTTAACTGTTCATTAGCTCTTAATAAAGTAGTGAAAAAAATTAGTTGCTGATGATCAATAACAAGACTATAAGAAATAACTACCATTTTAAAACTCCAATGTTAAAATTTAGTATATCCAGCAAATCTTTTATTTACATTAGTATACATGCATATATAATTAAAATACAATTATAACTAACCTCAGAATTCCAGTTCCTGCTCCAATGTCCAGAACACTTTTGGACCCCAAAGAAACTGCCTTTTGGATTGCAGCATGATAAATCATATTCCTCTTCCTGTCATTAAGCATGATAAAGTGCCAGCGTTCCACCAACCAGTTTGCAACACGATAAAAATTCTCCTTTGCATCACTGAAATCAGGGTTTAGCTTCACTGCTTTATGAAAATACCCAGCTGCTTCATCTCTAAAGCCCATTCTAAAGCGGAATAAGACAATGAAAGATAAAGATAAAATATACTCAACTATATGCCATCAACTACAACGCCTTTGTTCATGCCGATCACCAGGCCTGAGAATCACTTACCTGGATGCCAAAGCCCACAGAAGGTAGAGGCTAATTCCTTTGGAAAGATTTCTGCAAGGACTACAACCCCTATGACTTCTTTTCCCCGAGTCCAAACTACATTTATGTACCCTAAGTCACTAACACGTACGTGAGTATGAATTAATATTGAGTTAAGGTATAGAGAAAGCTCTTATAGTCCTCTTCCATTTAGCCAACTTGCTAGAACACTAGTTCTTCCTGGAAACCATTCCTTCCATAACACATACCAATGCCCATGGCTAGAAGGTTCCTTTCCAATGTACCTGCATTTTTTTCTCAACAGCTGAGTGGAATGGTCATTAAGTCAGCTGTATTTGCTGCCAAACCAGTTTGTTCCAATTGCATCGTTATTATAACTCACATTCTCATTAATTTTTAAAGGCAGTAAATAAGTATGACTGCAAAAAGATGACCATTTAGTCTAAGGACACTAAGACTAAAGGACACTAAGATTCTTGTTACTTAATGCTTCTATCTCAAGTTAACTGGAAGAATAATCATCACTTTTTGATATGAGTGAAAAATTACTCAATATTTAAAATTGCTCAATTGTTGAGAATGTCTCAACTAGAATGATTTAATGGATAAATTCTATTTCTGGTCAGAATGAACCATAGGTTAATAAAAACAACGTAAAGCTTGGTTCTGTAAAATGTTCTTAAGAATTAGGAAAAAAAAAATCAAAGGCAAGGCACTTCAAAAATTAATACTAAATTAGATATGAGAACAAAAACTTGGGGAGAAAAACTTACCAAATCATCTAGAACAGTGTTTCTCAAACTATCTGGTGACGATCCCTTCCTCCCTTTTTAAAATATTAAATTACATGTACACCAATGTGGCTGCTCTACACCTGGTTTCCATGTAGCTCACATAACATGCGATATCAGCAGCATCCAAACCAGTCTATACTCTGTACAGGGCGAGAGCTCCCAACCAACCATCTGCTTAGATTTCCAGCAATGTCATCACTGCTATATATGTACTTTTAAACACTCAAATTCTATACTTATCTGTAATCAGTAATTTGAACAGGATTGAGCTAGAATTCTTTTTACTCAAACTATTTCACAGCATTCTTTAAGCATGGTCAATTTTAAAGAAACAAATCAAACTATTCATTCTGGGTATGGTTTAAGCAAAAAAGACATTCTAGAACTCAGGGGACCACACTCTAATAAAAAATAATGCTGCATCAAATGATAGGCACCCATATTTGAGGTTAAAGTTAAAATGTTGAGGTTAACATATATTCATTTTAAGTTATTTTGAAGGGAGAATTATCTAGAGCTTACTATGCAACTGCCATAGTATGAAATATACTATATAAAATCACAATTTGTTGAGACTAACTGACCAATGTATATTAAAATATTTCCAAGTATCAATGATCAATCTGTTCAAGCAATGCCAAACATACTCCTAATTAATTTCCTGAGTTTGTGTTTCCCTTGGGTTTAACATTTAATATACCATCCATTTCCTTAAATTGCAAGGCTAATCTAAAAATTATATAATTGGGGGCTGGGGATTTAGCTCAGCGGCATAGCACCTGCCCGGCAAGTGCAAGGTTGTGAGTTCAATTCCCAGTACCGGAAAAAAAAACAAAAATAAATAAATAAAAATTATATACTCCACTCAATATATCTCATATTGAAAGACTCAACATGTGTGTATCAAGGAACTGCAAGAATGACTTTTCTTCTTTTAACTAGGAAAATCATCTCATTAGCAATTTAAATATATTTTCTTTAAATTTGATGCCACTAGACTAACAGAAGATTGTAAAGATAAGACACTCTAAATAATTTTTATTTCACAAATAAATGTCATGAAAGAAAGCTCCAATTTACTTCAGGAATCCTTCTCAGAACAATGATTATTTTGGTGGGGAGTGAATGTACACTCTTTTTGAGAAAAGTAGCACAGAACAAAAAAAACTATTGTCCTAGACAATGAGGACAAAATGTAATAAAAGCAATACTCACACTGTTCTAAATTATCAATGTCTGAACCAAAAATTTTGCTATTACATCTCCCAAAGCAAATTAATAACAGTTATTTTTGGCTAAATGATTGGTAACTATTCAGATAAGGGTTACAGAAAAAGACACAGGTACTACATTCCTAAAGTGGGCAGAGCTACAATGTTCTGTGACACTGTTTATCCTGAAACTCAGTCTTGCATTATTATGACCACTATTATGTGTACAACTGAAAATAGGACAATCTGCAAGGCACCTGCTTTCCTTCTGGAAGGCTAGAATTTTGGCATGTGCCAGGCAGGGCACAGCCCCCGGGTACTAACCTCTAATGAATTTCCCTGGTTGACATTTCAGAAGTGTTATGATGACTTGTTGCTGGGGAAAGGAAATGCATCCTCAGGAGGCTTGAACGTGGTTTCCTTCAGACTTTGCCCGATGCACTTTTTCCCTTTGGTAATTTTGCTTCCTATTCTCTCACAGTAACAAATCTAAGCCATGATTATGAATACATGCTGAGTCCTGTGGACCTCCTAGCATATCCGCAAACCTGGGAATAGTCTTAGAGATTCCCTAATATAGTCAATTATTAACACACTGCAAAATCACCCTTTTTGCTTGTGTGAAAAGTATATCTGGCCCTTTAATGTTTTTCCAGTGGTCAGCACACAGTGCTGGAGACATAACAGGAGTAAGGGTTTTGCTTCCTGTTTCCAGTGTGCTTAGGCTTCTCCAGCACCAGGCTCCTGAGGGGCGTGGCAGCCAGCAGCATCCCCAAGGACTCCACTCTACTGGGTGGTTTTGTAACAGAGTGCCTCTCATTTGACACCTCCCAAATGAAGCTTTCTCTGGGACCCTAAAAGGCAAAAGTCCATCAAGTTCCACAAGACAGATTTTCAAGTTCCCCAGTAAAGCACCAGTGACTTCCCTGGCATCCTGTGGACCATGGCTGTCTTCTCTAACAAGGACAGGCTCTCAGTCCACTAGGGGGAACTCTTCCTTGTAGACTCTTATCTCAGCCCTAGAAGCAATGATTTTTAGGCAGTTTATTATTTAATATTCAGTCTGCTATTACAGCACATTTTATATGTGCTATTTCTATATTCTTCTGCATCCTCCTTACTTGTTACTGACAAAGCCCTCATTACTACAATCCCTTCTTATTGTAAATTGTTCCCTATACTAAAGTTTGCCTGTTCAAATTACTCTATAATGTATTCCCAATCCAGGATACAGAATAATTCTGAACAATTACTACTAAAGTCACTACAAACCTGAAGAGATGTTCCCCCATACTATTGCAGATCACTTCATCATCAGGAAACAGTTCCAAGGCCTGCTCATAGCAACCAAGTAAGTCTTGTATTCGATTGAGGGCATCAAGCTCTTCAGCCCACTGGAACAGTGTATACTGAAAAGTTTCCTTTATAAGAAATAAAAGTGAATTAGTGAATAAGATAAGATGGAAAGAATATCCAACACTAGCTGAAGTTTCCAGAAAATGAAACTTAACAATTACTGAATGATCACCTTAAATTTCATTTAATTTTAGTAAGCAATGTTTGCTGCATACATACACACACACACACAAATTATTTTTACCACCTACCTGCAGTAATGTGCAGAATTAATCTGACTATGGAAATTCCTTCCATTCTTATAGCACACCCTGATTCTTTCCTACCTCTTTTTTGCTTCTGCCTCTCTGTCCCTCTCTCTCCCTCCCTCCATCCTCCCACCTCCTTGTGGGCTCCTGTGTTTCAGGATTTTGTCCTTGGCCCTCTTCTCTACTCTCATCTATCCCTAGTGCATTATCATCTATTGTTAATGGTGCTACATCTACACGTCTAATTAAGTCCTTCTCTTCTGATCCTCAAACACATAAATTCAACTTCCTACTGGTCATCTCAATCAGACACTTTCAAATTCAGTCAAATTGAACTATGTCCTCAACAATCAATGAGAAAAGAAAAGGAGCTAGAACTCCATGATGAACACCACAAATGCTGTTCCTATGCTCACATGGGCACTGTAAAAGGAAATTTACTACACAATATTGAAAAGGAGTCTTCTCATAGCATGTAATGTTAAGTAAGGTACCACTCAACCTCAAACACGAAGTCATCTTTTAATGCTACCCTAACTCCATATACAATATTTTAAATCCAGCCAATACTCACTCAGTATCTTTAAATCTTTCCTGCAATCCCAGAACTTTCTGAGGCTGGGACAGGAAACCTTCAAGTTCAAGCCCAGCCTGTGCAACTTAGTGACTTAGTAAGACCCTGTATCACTGTACCAAAACAAAAGTTTAAAAAGAGCTAGATAATGTAGCTCAGTGCCAAGGCTCTGGGCTCAATCCACAGTATGCAGGTGGGAGGTAGCACAAGTTTCACCTCCTCTCCCGCCCTACTATTACAACCTAATCTGGCCCTTGAAACCACTTGCGGGACTACAACAATAGCTTTCTATCTCCCAAGCTCCAGGTGCATCTCCCTGCACTACAATACCATGGAAAGTGGGCAAGCTCTACACATCCCAGCTTTCCTATAAAACATTGTGGGGAATCCTGGTTATTGTATCATTGTTTCTTTAAAGGCCACAATGCAGCTAAGTTTTGAGCCTGTAGCATAACATTAATTTTCTACCTTGTAACACACACACACAAACATGCATACACACATTATGTATGCATCAGTAGATGTTCTAACTGCCTGATATGTCTTTAAAAATACCATTTCTTCCCCATCCCGGTGTAATGTCAAAAGTTCCTTTCAAGTGTGTGTGTGTGTGTGTGTGTGTGTGTGTGTGTAGATAAAATATTTACTTTCCTGATTTCCTTGACCACAAACCTTATTCTTTACATATTTATCAACTGCACCTGGTAGGATTGTTTCTAGAAATAACAAGGGCCAAAAAGACATTACATCAGCCTTCATACAACAACTGGCTATCCTTAGAACTGAAATAGATGGAAAATAGAACCAGCATAATCTGATGCAAGCATTCCTGGTATGACCTTTCTAGATCCGCTCCTCACATTAAAATCAAACATAAAGGTTGCTACTTTCTCCCCGGCATCACATTCCTTTCTTGGAACTCACCTGCTGGTCTCTTGTAGTGTGTCAATACACTTTTAACTTTTCTATATTCCCTGACAGTTGGTAAATTCTTTTACTACCTGAAAGCCGAGCTGTTCAGAGGGTGCACCTCACACAGCAAACATTTTTAATCACCTTCATTTGCTTGATACAGAAGGGTTGTACCTGAAACTCAACTCTGATGGGGTTTGCTACAGAGACAAAGCAAAGTAACAAAACTCTAGGGTGTGAAGGAAAAACAGACTATTTGAAATGGACCAGGGGCTCTAAAAATAAGCAGCTTGGTGTGACTGGCTTCTGGTTATGGGGAACAGAGGGAGTAGCATGAAACAAGACTTTCATTTAAAAAAAAAAATATATATATATATATACACACACATATATATATATATATAAACTTAGTTCTATAGGAAACAGAATAAGTTACTGAACCTTATACTGAGTGCCAAGCACTGCAATGAACATTTTACACATTTATTAATATACACTAAATATCTTCAAGACAGGTGTTATCCCTGTTTATAGAAGAGAAAAACTAACAAATAGCACTTGCGTTGATCCACTGCTGCTTATAGAAGGGAAAACTGTGTCAACATATAGTTAGAAATCTCCTTTTGTGAACTGTAAAAGTCTACACTACTGACATCTAGTAGGTAGAGGACAGGGACACTGCTAAACACCCAGAATAGATAGGACAGCTCCTCACCATAATGCCAACTGAAAAACAAGCTCAGTAGCCTGCTGCTGAAAACTGTGAATTTAAATCATTTTTAGAAATTTGAATTCTAAAACTACTTGAAAAAATGTACAGTATTCCAACAGGAAAACTTGCAAATAACCAATTACTGACGTTTAAAGATGTATCATGAACTAAAGAATACTTTAGCTTAGATATATTTTATTCAACTAGAAGGAACCCAGTATTCCTGCTACACACAGTGGTTACAAATGCAAAGGCTTGAAGACCGGGCGTGCTTAAATTAAATACAGGTGAGGAAAAGGATTACCTAAGGCTTCACTTGCAATTCGAGGACCTTTGGAATTTTCAGTGAGAGGTAAGTGTTACAATAGAGAAGTGATGCCTTCACCTGTTACAAAACGCCGGCTAGGTTGAGAAAGACAGAGATCAGCAGAAAAGCTACTGAAAACACCATGCAGATGACAGAGGCTTGAACCAGAGTGGTGAAGGAGAAAGTGGTGAAAAGTGCTAACACCCAGAATAGACAGGACAGCTCCTCACCATAATGCCAACTGAAAAACAAGCTCAGTAGCCTGAAAGGTGGAGCAGTCAGGCTTGTCGTGGGTCTAAATAAATTTAGTTCAAGAGTAAACAACGAACAGCAGTAAATAGCGGCCACAACCCACGGGCCTATGTAGGACTCCCTCCTGCTTTTGCTTTTTGTTTGATTTTGTTCTGATTTAACAAGAACAGAGGGCCTGCTAGCAGGTGCACGGAGAGACCTCACCTTCACGGCGTCCTTCAGCTCCGGCGCCAGGCTGAGCACCAGGAGGTAATGCGCGTACGCGGTGCCGAAGTCCTGGGCGCCCAGACAGTGCTCTGCGCTCTGCAAGGACCGCGACACCAGCTCGTCCCGCCCGGCGGCCCCGGAGCCATCTCCGGCGCCCCGGCGGGCCCTGAGCCGCGAGTTCGACATGACAAGGACTGTGTCTCGTAAAGGAGAGAAGACTGTCCCGCCGCTACACTCCCAGGTAACCAACCCACTAAAGTTGGAAGAGCTGCACAGGAACGCTACCCCCGCGTCGCAGGTGAGGTGCCCGCCTCTGCCAAGCGGAAGGCCCGCCCTCTCAGGGCGAGGAAGGCGGCGCACACAGAGCGGGCCGCAACGCACGCGCAGTACCTGAGGACTCCGGCCGGCGGCGCACGCGAGGACGTCAGCACGCACGACGTGAGGACGTCAGCACGCACGACGTGGGCACGTTGCAGTTCTTCCTCCATAGGATGCGTCCGCTTACGCCTAAATGCCAGACTGTGAGGGCGAATACGAACGTGTACTGTGTAGGCTCAGTCATTGCCAAGCTGCACCGACCGGTGAGCGACACTTTCGTGGTGACCTTTAAGGCGTTTTGGATCGCGATGGACCACGTCTCATAATCTCAAGACTTTTGGAAAGAATGAGGAAATAAAACCGCCTTATGTGTGGTAGAGGAAATATTTTCACGGGGTTGATTTTAAATCATTCCCACAAAATCTCGTGAGGTGGACCTTTGGGTCAGATTTGTTTTAGAGGAGGGAAAAGTGACGTCCAGAGAAGTAACTTGGTCAACCTCATGCAACCAGGTAGTGACACTGGTATGGCTTGAATACAGGTTTGTTAACCACCTGTTACAGAAAGAGTATTCCTCAAAAGTGGCCCCTAAGGTATAGATTCAAAACTTACAAAGAGAGAGTGGGAGGAAGAATTACAACTCCAGTCCTTTTCCATCATTTTCAAATGTGTTTATGCAAATATCTTAAATTATAAAAATATGAGCAGTTCCTCCAGTTCTAAAAAAATCCATGTTTCACATGTTCTTTTGCCTTCTCTTTGATCTGATTATTTGACCCACTCTTCTTCTGAGCATCTGCCTATGTAAATTTTAGTCAGTTCTTCAGGATCCAGTTCAGGAGACTGTGACTTGCCCTTCTGAATAGAAAGTTCTGAAAGGCAGGACCTATGGTTAACCACTTTAGAAACCTTTAAACCTAGCAGACTATGGGACAAAGTAAAGACATTAATGATTTTCAATGTAATATAAAGTAGGTCACCACTCCCTGGTTCTTAAGTAGACTTTCCCAATTATCCATGTAATTATTTCTTTCCCATTCTTAATTGCTACTTTCTGTAATTTGGGACTTAACCATGTGGTATTTTTCCTAAGAAGACTGAAAAGCCACCCAGGTGTGAGACCAGTGCCTGTAGTCTCAGCTCCCTGAGGAAGCAGAAGAGTCACGTGTTAGAGCCCATCCTGGACAGCTTAGCAATTTAGTGACCCAGTTTCAAGGGGGGCAGCAGGGTCTTAATTTTTTGTAAAGAGCCTGCATCCAATGTTCGAGCACAAACACACACACACACACACACACACACACACACACACACAGCAACTTATAGTCCCAGCACTCTTGGAGGCTGAGACGGATCACGACTTGAAGCCCAGCCTGGGCAATTTAGAGACTCAGTGAGACCCTGTCTAAAAAAAAAATTTAAAAAGGGCCAGAGCTGTAGCTCAATGCAAAGGCCCTGGGTTTGACCCCCAGGACTGCCAAAAAAAAAAATTTTTTTTTCACAGAAAGGCCTAATAAAGCTATTTCCCACTTTAGACATAAGATTTCTATAATCAAAATTAGATAATATATGAAAGTATTTATATGTAAGCTATACAAGCCCATTTAATGCTATTGTTACTATTATCTAGATTCAGAAATTATCTGGATCATTAAAAATTAGGTTACTTAGACATGTAAACATTTGATCAGAAGTGTATGCAACCTACATCCTTTAAGAGTCAAATGTAATTGGCTCAAACCACTTACCAGAAAGCAGAGGGAGAGCCCCTAATCCCCAGAAATTTGAGTTGGAGGGGAACTCACTAAGACTTAATTGTGGCCTGATAAACCCCTGGGTCAGTTGAATGACTTTATAAATTGTCTTCTAATTACAGGGTCTCCTTTCCCCTTTCACAAGAGTAAGATTTCTTTTGTTTTGTTTTTTTGTTTGTTTTTTTTTTTTTTTATCTCTTTGGTTCTCTGAGATAACCCAACTTTAAATTGGACATATTTTTATGAAGTGAATATAGGCTGAGAGACAGAGGAGAAACAGAGATGCCAACTTTGGTTGAAAGAAGCAGTTTTGATTGTTTCAACATATTCTGTGGTATCAGCCAGCAACCAGTGACTACGGCTAAAAAGTTGTAAGAAAGACCTGCTCATTTGAAATACTTCAGATAACTGTGTGCTGCCAGGTCTCATGCAGATAAAATGATAGAAAAAGTGCAAGCTGTCTGCACTGCTTTGTAGAATCTCGCTTAAACACACTTTACATGGGATTGCTCCCATGTTGCAAAAATGGAAACGGCAAAACATGGAACAGCTGGTCATCTTAAGAAACTGGAATAGAAAATATTTTGTTCCTTTATTGCTTCAGTCCTAATTCAGACTGAGAATTTCTTAAGTTTGCTCCTCTTTATTGCAAATTAACTTTTTTTTAGTATAATTACCTTTCAGTCCTTTTGGAAGCTCCTGTCTTTCATTACAAACAACCCAAAAGTATGCTGCAAAACAAATACAGAATGTACATCCTAGTGTTTATTATTCAAAAATGGCATGTTTTATCTTTGTTATAACTAAAAGGCCTCAGGGAAGTTTCTTTTTTCATTTTTACAACCAGTATTCAAATAACAGCTAAAATAAAAATCTGTTGGACTGAGATGAAGGTGGACCAATAAAAAGCAATATTTGAAAGATACATACAAAGCAGAATCTAGTATTCGCTTTGGCTGTGCATATACTAAAATTGGAATGATATAGAGAAGATTAGCTTGGCCCATGTGCAAGGAAGACATGCAAATTCATGAAGCATTTCATATATTTTTACAATAGACTTCTCAACACAAACCCTAAAGTCAAGGAGAGCTTGGAAAGAAGTGTTTCAAGCCCTAAAAGAAAACAACTTCCAATCCAGACTGACATAGCCCCCAAGTCATCTTTCAGACTTGATAAGGAGGGCTGGGGATATAGCTCAGTGGCATAAGCTCCTGCCTGGCAAGCGCAAGGTC